CAGTTTCACTGGATTAATAATATTGTGACTATAAACATTGTGTGACCCTCGATGTTTTTACGTCCCTGGGTGAGAGAGCGGGAACCTAAACACATATATTTATATGCATACATATATATATATATTTGTATGTACGTAGGAAAGTAGCAGGATGGAACGTATCCGCGTATCTGTCCGTACCACTCGCGAGATGGCCATTTAAATTATGACGCAATTCCTGCCTCGTCCTCCCCCAATTTAGTTCGTTAATTTCATTACTATTACTATTATTATCCGTTTAAGAAAAGTGTAAAAAAAGTTCTATTTTTTAATACTATTTTCCACTATCTTTTATTAAAAAAAATTTTTTTACGTTTTGTACTTACGTTTTATACGTTTCAAACATTTTAATTACGTTTTGAACGTTTTGAACATTTCAAACATTTTAAATACGTTCTAAAAGTTTTAAGTATGTTTTATACGAGGTTTTAAGTAGTAATATTAGTAAATAGTAAATACTGTAAATAAATACTAATTATATGTATTTACTTGGCTAGGAAATTATTTTTTATAATTCCCCACGTAATGGCAGAATTAAAAATTAAACGGGAACGCTATTCGTTTAATAATAATTACTGTGGAATCAGCAAAAAAAAATCACAATCACATATTCCCGCGCCTGTATTTATGTAATCCCGTCGTACAGTGACGCAAGTTACGTGCGTTACGAACCGAAACGCATGAAATTTCAAATCGAGAAAAAAAAGCGTACACACACGATTGTTTTCCTCCGCCCTTGCCATGAAACGTGGGAAATTTTCTCTCGATGCTCATAAATTGCTTTATATTCATAGAATTTATACTATTCGAGAGGAGAGAAATTTTTTAATAACTTCTATTCATAACTTATAGTGAAATTTCGAATTTCCCGCTACAATTAACGATTTTTCCCGAACCCGCGTGTACGTGGAACAATTTCCGGAACTATGGTTGACACAGGTCGGGGAATTCAGGAAAAATTCAGGGATTTTTACTAAAAGTACTGGAAAAAATTGAATTTTTAAAATTCATGAGCAAACTGAATTTTTTTTTCTTTTTGCCTCGTAAACTATGAAATTACCACGAATACAAAACCTTACAGTTTTCATAAATACTAGATTGATAGAAGAATTTTAGTTAAAAGTACTAAAAAAAATTGGATTTTTGAAAAGTTACAAATGATTACAAAAATTCAATTATTTTCAAAAGTTACAAAAATTCTTCGCAGAATTTCAATTATGTTTAAAAATTTTTTAAAAATTCTCGTCAAAATTTCAATTATTTTTATAAATGATAAAATTCTTCATCGAAATTCAATTATTTTTAAAAATTTTTATAAAATTCTTGGCAAAATTCCACAGGAATTCAATTATTCAATTTTTAATAAATTTCTTCGAAATAATTCAATTATTTTCATAGGTAATAAAATTTTTCACAGAAATTCAATTATTTAAAATACAAAATTTCATAAAATTTTTCGAAAAATATCAATTATATAAAAAGATTTTTATAAAATTTTTTCAAGAATTCAATTATTTTCATAAATAATTGAATTCTTCTCAGAATTTTAATTATTTTCATAAAATTCTCGGCAATAATTCAATTATCAGCATTAGAAAAATAAAATTCTTTTGAAGATTTCAATTATTTTCATTAATAATAAAATTCTTCGGAGGATTTCAATTATTTTGAAGAATTTGAAACAAATTCTTGTCAAGAATTTAATTCTTTTCATAAATAATTGAATTCTTCTTAGAATTTCAATTATTTTCATAAAATTCTCGACAAGAATTCAATTATCTTCATAAAAAACAAAAAAACATTGTCAAAATTTCAATTAAATTCTTCATCGAAATTCAATTATATTTAAAAATTTTAATAAAATTCTTGGCAAAATTTCGTAGGAATTCAATTATTCAATTTTTAATAAATTAATTCAAAATAATTCCATTATTTTCATAAGTAATAAAATTTTCACAGGAATTCAATTATTTAAATTATACAAAATTTCATAAAAATTTTCAAAAATATCAATTATTCAAAAAGATTTTTATAAAATTCGTCACTAGAATTTAAATATTTAAAAAAATTTAACATAGTTCTTTTTAAGAATTCAATTTTATAAATAATAAAATTCTTCACCTAAATTCAATTATTATCATAAACTTGAATAAAATTCGTTGTAAGAATTCAATTATTTATATAAATAATAAAATTCTTCACAGAAATACAGTTATTTTTATAAATTTGAATAAAATTCGTTGGGAGAATTAAATTATTTTCAAAAGTATTAAAATTCTTCGTAGAAATCCATTTATGTTCAAAAATTTTTAAAAAAAATTCTTTTTAAAATTCCAAGTATCTTTATAAATAATAAAATTCTTCTCCAAAATTCAATTATTTTATGAAAATTTTAATAAAATTCTTAGGAAATAAATATTAATTATTTTCATAAATATAATAAAACTCATCGCAGGATTTTAATTATTTTTTATACATAATATTATAATCAAATTTCTCGAAAAATGTAATAATTATTCTTAAAAATTTTATTAAAATTCGTTGATAGAATTCAATTATTTGAAAATTTGTTGATAACAATTTTTTATGGGAATTGAATTTTAAGAAACGTTCAATTATTCAATAAATTATTTATTTGCATTTTTGCATTTAAATTTGTATTTAAATAATTGAATTTTTCTAGAATTTTCTATTAAAAATTGATTTAAAAATGAATCAACGAATAATCGATTTATTTATTATTTATGAAAATAACTGAATTATTGCAACAAATTTAAAAAAAAATTTAAAAAAAAAAATTTTTTTAAATAATTTATTTTTTTTGAGTAATTGTACTGCTTGTAAAAATAATTGAATTCTTGCGAAGGATTTTTGTAAATAATTAACTTATTTTGAAAAATTTTATGGCAATTTAAATTATTACAAAACATTAAGAAGGCGATCAATTCGAGTCGAAGATACTCGGAGTGATCGCCTTCTTCATGTTTTGTAATAAATATTCTTATAAGTTTTTTTTTGAGTATCTAATAATTTTTAGAGTGAATCAAAAAATATTCTTTAGGGTGAGGAAAAAAGTGAAAATTTTGTCTGGAAATCAGGGAAATGTCAGGGAAAAATAAAATTAAATATTTGTGCGAAAAAAAATTTGACGAAAAAAACAAACATCGCACGTGGAAATATTTGACGAATTGAAATTGAACATTATTGATGGGTCCAGACGGATAAGTAGATGAAAATAGCAGCTCTTAAGTTATTATCCGAAGCGTAGGCTTTGTTATTTATTCCTCTAGAGGTTCGTATATACACTCACCCTTAATTACAATCTCCTATCGGCCTTAATTTATCATCATTGGAACTTTTATTCGTTGGACGGTAGACAGAAAAAAGTTTCCTCGTAATTTCAAAAATAGGTTTTTTTTACTTTTTTATTTTGTTACTTTTCTAGTTTTTTATTTTGTTAATTTTCTAATTTTTACTTTTCTATTTTTTTGACTTTTGTACTTTTTTAATTTTCTGCTTTTTAATTTTTCTACTTTTTACTTTTCTATTTATTTTTTTTTTATTTTTTATTTTTTTTTTTACTTTTTTATTTTGTTACTTTTCTAGTTTTTTATTTTGTTAATTTTCTACTTTTGACTTTTCTACTTTTTGAATTTTCTCTTTTTTAATTTTTCTACTTTTTACTTTTCTATTTTTTCGACTTTTGTACTTTTTTAATTTTCTGCTTTTTAATTTTTCTACTTTTTACTTTTCTATTTATTTTTTTTTTTATTTTTTATTTTTTTTTTACTTTTTTATTTTGTTACTTTTCTAGTTTTTTATTTTGTTAATTTTCTACTTTTGACTTTTCTACTTTTTGAATTTTCTCTTTTTTAATTTTTCTACTTTTTACTTTTCTATTTTTTCGACTTTTGTACTTTTTTAATTTTCTGCTTTTTAATTTTTCTACTTTTTACTTTTCTATTTATTTTTTTTTTATTTTTTATTTTTTTTTTACTTTTTTATTTTGTTACTTTTCTAGTTTTTTATTTTGTTAATTTTCTACTTTTGACTTTTCTACTTTTTGAATTTTCTCTTTTTTAATTTTTCTACTTTTTTACTTTTCTATTTTTTTTTACTTTTCTACTTTTTTAATTTTCTCCTTTTTAACTTTTCTACTTTTCTACTTTTTGACTTTTCTCCTTTTTAACTTTTTTACTTTTCCACTTTTTTATTTTATTATAAAAGTGGAAAAAAATTACTTTTCCGCTTTTTGAATTTACAATTTTCATTGCCCATGTGAAAGTCGTCATATAGTTTTCGCAGTGAATTGCAGTGAATGAAGTAAAAAAATCGGAAACAAAAGCCGATTGGCTTAATTTCATAATCTATAAATTGTTTTTTCTCATCAGCCGATAATAAAAATAATATTATTGAATAGAGGTTTTTTGAGTTGCGGAAAATTATTCTCACGATCCCTCGCAATAAAGAAGAGAATAGCTGCAGACATTTACTGCTAATATGCGTGGGCGGGGTTCCGTAATGCTATTTATTAATGGAATGTATTACGAATGCGACAAGTGTTTTTACAAAGGAATCTCTTCATAGAAATAAGAACATAATCTTTGTTGGAGAATATTTTTTTTCCCCGCGAGAACAATCGTTTCTTTCTATTTATTTTTTTAGCGGAATTGAAAAAATAGTGAAATAAAAAAGCAATTTCGAAATGAAACTTTTATGGAAAAAAAATTAACTTAAAGAAACGAAACTTCTGCAGAAAAAAATTAATTTAAAGAAACGAAACTTTTATGGAAAAAAATCAATTTAAGGAAACGAATCTTCTGTGGAAAAAAAAGCAACTTAAAGAAACGAAACTTCTAAAGAAGTTTCGTTTCTTAAAGTTGCTTTTTTTTTTTTTTTTTTGAAATAAATCGAAATATTTTTTTTTAACGGTTTTTTAACGAAATTTCTATTATTTACAGATTTGGAGTAGAAAAACGCGATGAAAGCTGTGGAGCAGCAACAGCCGAATTCTATGGACTCGAGTGATTCTGTGAATGGAGGAAGCGAATATGCATATCGACCTTTGACGACGAAACATAGAAGAGCTGGAAGTACGGGCACAACGGGAGACGAGGAGTACACGACAGACGAAGACGAATTTTATGGCGACGAGACTGACTGTTCGGGTCCATCACTACATCCACATCCAATTTTGAAATCGGATCTTGCTCGGGCAGCAACCGATCTTTTTGGCTACGAGAAGCATAATGATGAGGACGCCGAGCCGACGAGCCTCTTTGACGAAGACGAAAAATTCACACCTCAAAGGTAAACATCAAAAAGCACCAATTTCACCAAATCCATTAATTTTCACCTATTTTCTAAACTATATTTCATGTTTTTTTTAATATTTTGTTTAAAAAAATGTTGGTATTTTTTTGAACTTTCATAATTTTTGAATCTGAAATAATTTAATGATTGTTTGGAATTTTATTAATATTTTTTAAAAATATTTAAATTCTTTCCATGAATTTTATATTATATGAAAAGAATTGAATTTTTTGTAATATTTTTATCACATTTTTTGAAAATAAATGAATTTCTATGATGAATTTTTATTATTTATATAAAGATAATTGAATTCTTGACAAGAATATTATGAAAATTTTTGAAAATAATTGAATTTTGGATAAATTCTTGACCAGAAGTTCATTTAAATTTTTAAAAATAATTGAATTTTTGCGAAGAATTTTTTTAATTATCAAGATAATTTAATTTAATTGGAATTTTATTAAATTTTTGAATATAATTGAAATTTTTGCAAAATGTAATTGTTTTTAGATAAGAATAATTGAATTCTAGATTAAAAATTTATTAAAAATTTTAAAAAATAATTTAATTTTTGAGAAGAATTATTTTAAATATAAAGATAATTTAATTCTATTGGAAGTTCTTTAAAATATTTGATAAATTTAATTATTTTTAGACGAGATAATTAATTTTGAACCAGAATTTTATTAATATTTTTTTAAAAAATTGAATTTTTGCGAAGAATTTTGTTATTTTGGAGGATAATTTTATTCTGCCCAGAAATTTATTAAAATTTTGTTAAGTAATTGAATTTCTGCGAAGAATTTTGTTATTTATGAAAATAATTGAATGTTTGAAAAGTATTTGTTTAATTATCAAAATAATTTTATTTAATTGGAATTTTGGAAAAATTTTGGAAAATATGATTGAAATTTTTGCAAAATTTAATTATTTTTTTAAATAATTGAATTTTTGATAAATTTAATTATTTTTAGACGAGATAATTAATTTTGAACCAGAATTATATTAATATTTTTGTAAAAAATTGAATTTTTGACAAGAATTTTGTTATTTTAGAGGATAATTTAATTCTGCCCAGAAATTTATTAAATTTTTTTTAAGTAATCGAATTTCCGCGAAGAATAATTTTGTTATTTATGAAAATAATTGAATTTTTGAGAAGAATTTTTTTAATTATGAAGACAATTCGATTTTATTGGAATTTCATTAAATTTTTTAATATAATTGAAATTTTGGCGTAATTTATTAAAAATTGAAAAAATTATTGGATTTCTGCGAAGAATTTTTATATTCTAATATTTAGGAAAATAATTCTATTTTTGCGGAAAAATTTACTAAAATTTTATAAACATTTAAATTTTATTGAGCAACTTGATTATTTGTGATAATAATTGAATTCTTGGCAAGAATTTTATAAAATTTCTTTTAAATAATTTGAATCCTTCGAAAAATTTTATTATTTTAGAAGAAAATTGAATTCTTTGAAAAATTTTATTAAAATTTTTTAAATATAATTGAATTTATGCCAAGAATTTTGTTATTTAAGGGCATTTGAACCATTATGACGTCACAATGTGTGCAAAGCATGAGTTTTAAAATTGTGACGTCATAATGGTTCAAATGCCCTTAAGGAAATAATTGAATTTTTGCAAAGAATTTTATTGCAAATTTTAAAATAATTGAATTCCAGTTAAAAAAATTATTATTTGTGAAAATAATTAAATTCTTGCTCTGAAATTTGTTAAAATTTTTGAAAATAATTGAAATTTTGCGAAGAAATTTTATTAAATTTTTTAAGAATAATTATATTTTTTGAGGAATTAATTTAAACGTTTGAAAAAAAAATAATTGAAATGTTTCGAAAAATTTTATTATTTCTGAGAAGAATTCAATTATTTCTGTAGATAATTAAATTTCTGAGAAGAATTTCATTTATTTCTGGAGAAAATTGAATTCTTGTCAAGAATTTGTTTAAAATTTTTGAAAATAATTGAATTTTTGCAAAGTAATTTATCATTTAAAAAACAAATGAATTTTTGCAGAGAATATGTTTAAATTTTTTAATAATTGAATTTCTACGATAAATAATATAATTTAAAAAGATAATTGAATTCTTGCCAAGAATTTGTTAAAAATTTTTGAAAATAATTGAATTTTTGCCAAGAATTGAAAATATTTTCAATTTCTGAAAATAATTCAATTATTTACGAAGAAAATTGAATTCTGGACAAAAATTTGTTAAAGTTTTCGAAAATAATTGAATTTTTGCGAAGAATAATGTGATTTACAAAAATAATTGAATTCTTGCCAAGAATTTGTTTAATTTTTGTTGAAAATAATTGAATTTCAGTAAAAAAAGTTATTTATTTGTATAAATAATTAAATTCTTGTTCTGAAATTGGTTAAAATTTTTGAAAATAATTCAATTTTTGCGACGAATTTTAATAAAAAATTTTAAGAATAATTGTGTTTTTCGTGAAATTAATTTAAAGTTTATTGAAAATAATTAAAATTCAACGATAAGTTTTATTATTTCTGAGAGTAATTGAATTCTTGCAACGAATTTTATTCAATTTTAAAAAATAATTGAATTTTTGCAACGAATTTTATTCAATTTTAAAAAATAATTGAATTCCAGAGAAGAATTTTATTATTTGTGAAAATAATTGAATTCTTGTCAAGAAATTCATGAAACTTTTTGAAAATAATTGAATTTTGGATAAATTTAATTATTTTCAGATGAAATAATTGAATTCTGGACCAGAATTTTATTATCCATGAAAATAATTGAATTCTTGCGAAGAATTTTAATAAAAACTTTTTTAAAAAAATAATAAATTAATGAATTATATTTATAATTTTAATAAATAATTTGTTTTTTTTAATTTCCAGTTCTATTAAAACAATATCGCTCTTCTCATACAATGAGAAGATATCCCGTGGTGTACTGGGACGACAAAGTTCTTCATCCAAAGAAATTGGAATGGAAAAATCAGCACCGAAATTCGACTCGTCGACGAGTCTAATTGAGAATGAAATTGAAAATGCCGAAATTAAGGAAGAGACGTTGGAATTTGAAAATGAAAAGAAGACGAGGCCATTGGATAGAAGATTAAGCCTGGATACAACCACAAGTATTCCCGAGGCTGCTGCAGGTTCATCGTCCGACCTAAGGCCGGGAGAAAATCACGAATTAAGTCCGAGAAAGTTACCCGCTGATGATGAGCAGCTATTCATCAAATCTCAGGTTTGAAATTAGTCAAAGTTTCTTTTTCTTTTTTTATTTCCTCTTTTTCCTTTTTTTTCTTCTCTTAATTATTCCCTCAGGCTTTTATTTCGAATTTTCGAACAAAAAACGTAATTATTCCACAATTTACCCTCATTACAATTGTTAATTGTTAATTTTTATTTAGATTATTGTTATTATTATTATTTGTTTAATTTTATTTAGAATCTTTATTTTTTGCTTTTTTAAATTATTTTTTCAATTAACGTTTAATTATAAAATCGTGGAAAAATGGAAAGAAATTAAAATTCCTCTGCAGGAAAATTGTTTGGGAAAAAGTTTTTAAAAAAATAGAAAGTAAGTGAAGTGAATTTTTTTTAGTGAAAAATTCTCATTTTATTCGACTGCGGTTTTCAGATGAAAAGAGATTGCACTTCAAGTAGAATTCGAAGTGGATCTCCTCCTTCACCATCGGCTTTGCAATGGGGAAGAGCAGTGGCTGAGGTGAAAGAACAAGCAGTCGCTAAGCTACAGGAAGAATTAAAAAGAGCTCACGAAGAATTAAAGTTGAAAGATGAGGAGGTTTCTCGACTCTCGAGGATTCGACAAGACGTCGAGGCTGAACTCGAGGAACTCACTGCCAGTCTTTTTCAAGTGGGTCTTTGTTTTCCGCAAAATAATTTTCCTTTTTTTTTTATTTCCGCTTTCCCTCTTTTTTCCCCAAATCATCAAAGAAAGGAAAAGCAAAGTTTTAATTAAATTTTATTCAAATCTAATTAAATTTTCACTATATACAAAGCACAGAGAGAAATGTCCTAATATTCAAAAGTTTCGTGAAATTTCAAACAAGTTCTATTAAATTGTCAACGAGTTTCAAGTAAATTTCTATATAGTTCGTTTTGATAAGGAGGCTAATCAAATTTTTCTAATTCTAATTAAATTTTTCTAATTACAGTCAAATTTATAAATTTTATATTTAAATTAAATAAAAAAAACTTCTATTTATAAATTTTATATTTAAATTAAATAAAACAATTTTTATTTATAATTTATAAATTTTTATTTATAAATTCCTCAAAGGAAGAATTTTATTATTTATAAACATAATTGGATTTCTGTAAATAATTTTACAACAAATGAATTTTAAAATTTTTTGTATTTTCATTTTTTCAGGAGGCTCACAATATGGTGAGAGAGGCGAATGTCCGTCAAGCGACAGCGGAACGTCTTCTGGAGGAGAGTAGAATGAAGGCGGAAGTTCTTGCCGCTGAAGTTGCGGCTTTAAAAACATTAGTTTTAACATCGACGCCAGCGCGTCCAAATCCCCATCTACATCCGCAAATTGATACGCGAGGGCGAAATTCAGGAAATACCGAAGATTGTCAAGCGAGTCTCTTCACGAAAAAACACAGAAGATCACCATCGCACTTTAATCTCAAGTACGGACGGGAAAATTCACCACCCGATTCGCCTCAAAAAGAACAAAGAACCTCTTTGCCTTGCGAGAGAAATGGCTTCGATGGTCATTGGGAGAGAGAGAAGGAAAAGGAGGGCGAGAGGGAGAGGGAACGTGAAAAATTAAGGGACAAGGAGAGCAAAGATTCTGGATTAGAAGTCGATCCTAGGTTTGAATTTTTATTACATTTTATTTATTTAAAAAAAATTCGAGAATAATTGAATTTCTTCGAAGAATTTTATTATTTATGAAAATAATTGAATTCTCGCGAAGAATTTTATTAAAATTTTTCAAAAATCTTAATAAAATAATAGAATTAAACAAAGATTTTTTAAATTTCAGAGTTCATTCGGAGTTTCTCCAGTGGAAAACAAATCCCTCAGTGGATAAAAGTGATCCGTTTATCGAAAGGATTTTCCGTGAGGACATTGACCTCTGTTTGGATTTTCCGAATTTGGATTTGGGATTGAAAGTCCGACAGGCTGTTTTGGATGGAATTATTTTCATCGAAGCCGTCAGCGACAAAACGAAACTTGCCTTTCCAAAGTGAGAATTTTTCACATTATTTTAATTCATTAATTTTTGCTCCATAAAAAAGTTGATTAATTTTGTTATTATTACTTTTAATTCATTTTCTATTTAATTTCAATTGACTTTTTATTTCAAAATTTAAATTTTTTATTTTAATAATTAATTTTATTAAAGACTCAAAATTTTAATAAAATTCTTGTCAAGAATTGAATTATCTCCAAAAATAACAAAATTTTTCGCAAGAATTCAATTATTTTCATGAATAATAAAATTGTTGTCTAGAATTCTATTATATTATCTAAAAATAATTAAATTTTGCAAAAATTTCAATTGGAATTGTTCTGGTAATAGCTTAGAGCCAAAAAATAATTTTTTTTCTTAACAATTGTTAAATTTTTAGAGCTAAAGCTGTGTTATTAGGCCAGAAAATAATCGAAATCCTTCGAAAATTTTTATTATTTATTAAAATAATTGAATTAATTGGAAGAATTCTTTTAAACTTATGTTGAAAGTAATTGAATTTCTATGAAGAATTCAATTATTTGTAAAAAAGAATTGAATTCTTGCCAAAAGTTTGTTTAAATACTTTAAAGTTTTTTTAATTTCTTAAATAATTAAATTCCAGTGACAAATTTTATTAATTGTAAAAATAATTAAATTCTTGAGAAGAGTTTAATAAAAATTCTTTAATTAATTAATTTTTTTCAAAAACTGTTAAATTCTATTTAAACTAATTGAATAATTCTAATAAACAAATTTTATTACAATTTTTTAAAATAATTGAATTCTTTCGATGAATTTTAATTAAATAATTGAATTTCTGCGAAATAATTTAGAATATTATTAAAATTTTGTAAAAATAATTAAATTCTGAGATGAATTCAATTAAAATTTTATTGAAAATAAGTGAATTGTTTTAAAAAATATTATTGAAATTTGTGAAAATAATTGAATTCTTGGGAAGAATTTTATTAAAATTTTTGAAAATAATTGAATTTTCGCAAAAGATTTTTGTTAATTATAAAAAATAATTTAACTCTTATTGAGAAATTTATTAAAATTTTTGAAAATAATTGAATTGTGCAAATAATTTTATTAAAATTCTTGAAATTAATTGAATTTCTGTTAGGAATTTTGTTATTTATTTAGACAATTAGATTCTTGTCAGGAATTTTACTTATTAAATTTATTGATAATAATAATTAAATTTTATTATTTTCATAAATAAGTAATAATGTGTTTCGCAGAAAATCAATTGTTCTAATAAAATTTCTGGAAAGAAATCAATTATTTTCAAATTTTTTTATATAATTTTTTGTGAATTATTTGCAATACATTTTTAATATGAACTTTATGGAAATAATTTAATTAATTTAAAAAAATGTTAATAAAATTTGTCGCAAGAGTTGAATTATTGTTAAGATTTTTAATAAAATTTCTTTTATATTTAATTTGTGCAGAAAATGTGCCCTACTTGAAGCGGCAAGGCAATGTCATTATCGAATGCGATTAGGAGATCAGGACAATCAGTGGTACTGCATTTCCCAGATTTGCCGCAATAGAGTTCGTATTTTCAAATTTTGCATTTCTCTATTTTCTACTAATTACTTTAATTAAATTCGAAAATTAACGCAAATTGTAAATTTTCAGATAATTGCGGTTTGTGATTTTCTAAACTATCTGCGATATATCGAGCGCGGCCTCGTTAAAAGTTCAGGTAAATTCTATTTAATTATTATTTATAATAATATTTTAATTCAATAGTTTAATACTATTAATTGAATATTTTTATATTTCAATAAAGTAAATATTTTAATTAATTGAATATTTTTATCTTTCAATAAAGTAAATATTTTAATTAATAGAATTTTTAATTAAAATTTGTTAATTTACACAGTCCATGACATTTACTGGGAGATCAATCGCCTCAGGAAGGAAATGGTCTTCTCAAGATTAGGCTTGGCACTATCATCATCATAAATCATCAAAAAAGAAAATCTAGTCCTCGAATTTCTCGTGCAATTTCGAATCTCATATTTACAAAAAAATTGGCTCTCGTCTCATTTTCTGAGGACTGAAAAAAAAGGTTTTTATTTTTAATTTTTATTATTAATATTAATATAATTATTATAATCCATATATTATTATATAACACGAGGCTGTGATCTCGAATCAAGAGTCGAATCTCGATTCATGAATTTATTGTTGAATAATGCGTAAATTGTACATAATATAAAAAAATTCTTGCGCATTTGTTTTATATAGTGATAATAACTCTTTTTTTAGTGATTGTCTTTCCAAAAATAACAAGAAAGTTGTAAATTATAAATTATAAATCTTATATATAAAAGATAAAAAATAAGATCTTTACGAGAATGCGTATATTTTAAGTTCTGAAAGATCTTTTAATCTGAAAGTGAATTTTTTTAATATAATAATTAATAATAATAAACATATTTCGAATGTGAATATTGAATTTGAAGACAAATTTGATCATAGATTGAAAATGAACTAAAACTTTTGTCTTAAATTAAGAATAAACTAAAAGTAAATTGAAAATAAATTAAAAACAAACTAAAAGTAAATTGAAAATAAATTGAAAACAAACTAAAAGTAAATTGAAAATAAATTGAAAATTAATTAAAGATAAATTGAAAACGAATTGAAAATGAGTTGAAAATAAATGAAAAATAAACTAAAAATAAGTTCTAATTCAATTGAAAATAAATTAAAAATAAAGTGAAAATAAATTTTAAAATTAATTGAAGATAAAGTGAAAATAAATTTTAAAAAAATTGAAAATAAATTTTAAAATAAATTTGAAGATAAATTTTAAAGTAAATTGAAAATGAATTTTAAAGTAAGTTTTCAAAAAGCTTTTCGAACGCATATATATATTGAAACGTTTCGTATCTAAGAGAAAGCCTTTGAAACTTTTAAACTCTACAAATTTCCGCACTCCCGAATTACTGGATTTTAAAAAGGAAAAATGTATCTTTTGTATCGAGGAGAAAAGTGAATCAAAAAATTGCAATTTGTATTTACTGACGTAATTTGTAAATAAGAGTTGTATCATCTGTTGTTGTTAAATTAGAGATATTTATACGGGGAAATAATTGTGGACCATAAGAAATTAGGAAAATGGTTTTGAATTCCGAGAGTGGAAAACTTTTAACTGAATGAGAACAAATAATTGAATGCAATAGAAAATTCTCATCAAGGAAAAATTTACAATTTTACTTGAAAAACGAATTTTAATTTCATATCAAAAGAAAATTTTAATTGAAAGAGGATTTTAATATAAAAAAAATATCAAATTTTAACTAAAAAACGAAAGAGGAAAATTTTAATTGAAAACAAATTTTAATTTCATATCAAAAAATAGAAAATTTTAATTGAATAAAAAAAAACAGAAAACTAATTTAAAAACGAAAGAGAAAATTTTAATTGAAAAGAACTTGAATGTAATGCAAAAAAATGGAAAATTTTAATTGAAAACGAATTTTAATTTAATATGAAAAATAGAAAATTATAATTGAAAACGAAGTTTAATTTAATATAAAAAATAGAAAATTATAATTGAAACGAATTTTAATTTAATGTAAAAAATAGAAAATTGTAATTGAAAAAGAATTTAATTTATTAGGATATTAAAAAAATAAATCGTAATTGAGGCAAACATTTCGATTCGATTGAATTATAATATAAAATGTGTGAATCAAGTTATATTGCAAGGAGAAAAGTGATTAACTTAAAAACCAAATTAAAAAAAATAGTTAAAATTGAAACATATTCTAGACTATATAATGTCTTTACTATAACTCTAAGTGAAAAACTGCTTTTTATAATAAAAGAAAACAAAAAAAAAAATACACATCGAAGCGTTATACACGCGTTTTATCAGTAGTGAATTTGTAATTTGTTAACAATGAATGCGTGTCTCGCGAACTTTCGGGATTTGTACTTTATAATAATAGAATTTTGATTGTCTTCCAACGAATTCTGCAATTTACGAAAACTGCGCTATAAACTGTTAATCTTAAACAGGAAAGTTAGATTATATTTCTGACCGCATTGTTTCTCGCTCCTCTTTTTTTTCTGTAAATTTTGTCCCCCATGGACATTTAAAATTTTAATTTAGCAAAGATCTGAGTCTCAGTGATAAAAATAATGTTATAAAAATATATCGAATGTAAATATAGTATGCATGTCAAAAAAAAACAATTTTTTGTTGTATTTATAAATGAATAAAAATTATTGAAGATATTTATAAATGACTTTTTTTGACTTTTTACGCACTTTCAATCGATTGAAACGATTTTTTCGCGAAAAAGTTAAAACGAGGTTTTGTGGTTATAAAATTTCGGAAAGAAAGAATTTCTTCCGATACTTTAAATTAATAAATTCTGTTGTAATAAGTTTTTTGAAAAAATTTTAATTTCAATTCTGTTGAAATAATTTTTTGGAAAAATTTTAATTTCAATTATCTGGAAATTAGTTGAATTTTTTTAATTATATTTAATTATTTCAAAAAATTTAGATTAGATTCGATTTCTTTATTTTGTTTCAGGAAACCATGAGAAAAGGAAACCGTCGAAAGAATTCAATTATCTTGGTAAATATCTAAATTCTTTACAGAAATTCAATTAATTTAAAGAATTTTAATAAAATTATTTGCAGAGTTCAATTATTTTCATGAAATAACAATATTAATTACAAGAATTCAATAATTTTCATAAATATTAAAATTCTTCAAATTAATTCAATTATTTTCAAAAAAATTATTAAAATTCCTATCCGGAATTGAATTATCTTCATAATTAAAATAATTCTTCTCAAAAATTCAATTATATTCATAAATAAGAAAATACTTCGCAGAAATTCAATTCTTTTCAAAAATTTTAATTAATCTTTTGAAAAAGAATTCAATTACTTTTATAATTAACAAAATTCTTCGCAAAAATTCAATTATTTTCAAAAATTTTAATAAAATTCTTTCCAAGAATTCAATTATTTTCACAAATTTTAATAATATTCTTTGAAACAATTCACTTATTTTCAATAAAATTTTAATTTTAATTTTTTTCAATAAAATTGAATTCATCTCAGAATTTAATTATTTTTATAAAATTTTAATAAAATTCTTGTCAAGATTTAAATTATCTTCAAGAATTATTCAATTCTTCTCAGGAATTGAATTATTTCGCAAAAATTCAATTATTTAATTAAAATTCATCGAAAGAATTCAATTAGTTTGAAAAGTTTTTGAAAAAAATTAATTAATTAAAGAATTTTTATTTAACTCTTCTCAAGAATTCAATTATTTTTACAATTAATAAAATTTGTCACTGGAATTTAATTATTTAAGAAATTAAAAAAACTTTCAAGAATTTAAACAAACTTTTGGCAAGAATTCAATTTTTTTACAAATAATTGAATTCTTCATAGAAATTCAATTACTTTTAACATAAGTTTAAAAGAATTCTTCCAATTAATTCAATTATTTTTATAAATAATAACATTTTTCAAAGGTTTTCAATTATTTTCAATAACATTTCTAGAAAATTTTTTGATAAAATTCAATTATTTTTGAAAATTGGAATAAAATTTTTTGAAAGAATTCATATATTTTCAAAAATTTTGATGATATTCTTTAGAAGAATTGTATTTCAATTCCGCGAAAGAATTAAAATTTTCTTCGAAACCATCGAATTTGTACTTTAATATTTTATTTTTTATTTTATTATTTTCGTAATTAATAATTTCGTTTCGCAGAAATTCAATTATTTTTAAAAAAAATTTTCAATAGAATTCAATTATTTTCAAAAACTTTCATTAAATTCGTTTATTAGAATTGAATTTTTTAAACTAGAATTTGCATATATTTTTTTGAAAAAATTCAATTCTTTATAAAAATAATTGAATTCTAGTGAATAATTTTATTGTTTTTTAAAATAATTGAATTTTTAAAAAAAAAATTCTTTTAAATAATTTATTTTTTTTAAAAAATTTAATTTTAAGAAACTTTTAAATAATTGAATTAAAAAAAAATTTTACTGGGATTCAATTATTTTTATAAATAATTGAATTCCAGTGAAAAATTTGATTGTTTTTAAAAACAATTGAATTTTTGAGAAGAATTTTTAAAAAATTCTTTTAAATAATTGATTTTTTCGAAAAAATTTAATATTAAGAAACATTCAAATAGTTCAATAAATTATTTATTTTTGTATATAATTACTTTATTATTTAAAATAATTTTGATTTAGAAAAGTTGTTTAGTTAAAAACTCTAAGAAAGAATTTAATTTTGGAGAAGTTACAAATAATTGCAATTATTAGAAATAATTTGAATTTTAAAAAGGTTTCAAGTTAAAATCTTTGAAGATCTAAATTTTTCATTTTTTTAATTAAAAATTTTGTCAAACTAATTTTTTTTTGAAAAATTTTAATTGAAATTTTTTAGAAATTCTTTAATTTTTCTTATTTTCTAATATTTATTTAATTGAAGAATTTGCAAATAGTCAAAATTTCGTAAAATCAGAAAAAATTAAAATTTTTTAAATCAGGGAAAAGTAAGAGAAAAACAAAATTAAATTTTGATCTCAAACCTGATTTTATAAATTAAATTCGCATTTATTTGTATAATTTGTATATAATTTGTTTCCATTTAAGTACAAGAAGAATACAAAATTCGCATTCTGTCGATTAACTTTGTAGAAAAATATTTATATATATATATATATTTGTTTGTTTGTTTTCTTTTTCGTTTTCTGACGGAAATCTACAATAAATTAACTTTTAAAGTTTATATAATACTTTCAACAATAGGCGACATTCATTATTTAGCCGTTTACAAGTCTTATGTATCTAAATTTGTATATATATTTTTAAAAACTTCTTTTTATACTCAATTTACAAACATTCTCTCATTTGTTTCAATTATCATAAGTTCTCTTCAACTTTTTCACAAATCTCATATTTTTTCTAGACGCGTGTGCTTGATATTTGTCATACTTTTTGGCTGATGTCCGTACAGGAAAATTGAACATATAACGAGAAGAGCACCACAGGTGAATTGTAAGGAGAGTTCAAAATTAAATAAATAAATTGACGCGACGCAAGAAATAATAATAGCCAATGATGTTGCGAAACCCTTTAAAATATTGTCCGCGTGTTTCACAACCAAAGCAACAATTAAACCACCACAGGCTTGTAGTAACACTAAATAATTGATGAACCAATCGTAGCCGACGAAAAATCCTTTATTTAAAATTACCTCACCGTCATTCATTAGGCAGGTGAATAAACCGAATGGTAATGAGAGAAGACTTAATTGGACATTTCTCATCCAGACTGATATATCGGAGCCCTTTAGAATTTTTTCGAAATAAATTCCCGCAAAGCCCGAGAGGAAGCATGCAGTTAGTGCCGCACCAACTCCAACGAGACGATTTTGTTCAATTCCTGATGGTACTTTTTGAGGACCACTTTCTGCTAATTGGACGAGAATTACGCCCATCAGGAGGAAAAATAGAGCTAACCACTGTAATCGATGGAGTGATTTTCGCAAAATAACGACTGCGAAGAAGGCCGTTGTCAAAATTTTTAATTGATAAGTGACCTGCAAAAAACATGTGAGTAGAATTAATTATTTGCTTAGTACAGAAATCAGAAGAATTTTTTTTTCTTAAATAGGTGTTTTTTCGAAACAATTTAATAATCTTGATAAATAGCAAAATACTTTCCAGAAATTCAATTATTTTCAGGAATTTCAATAAAATTCTTTGCAAAATTCAATTATTTTCAAAAATAACAATCTTTATTACAAGAATTCAATTATTTGCATAAATATTAAAATTATTCAAAAAAATTCAATTATTTTCAAAAATTTTATTAAAATTTCTATCCAAAATTGAATTATCTTCATAATTAAAATAATTCTTCTCTAGAATTCAATTATTTTCATAAATAAGAAAGTACTTCGCTGAAATTCAATTCTTTTCAAAAAGTTGAATAAATTTCTGAACAAGAATTCAATTACCTATATAATTAACAAAATTCTTCGCAAAAAATCAATTATTTTCATAAATAACAAAACACCTATCACGAATTCAATTCTTTTCAAAAATTTTAATAAATTTCTGAACAACAGTTCAATTATTTGAATAATTAACAAACTTCTTCGCAAAAATTCAATTATTTTCAAAAAATTTAATAAAACTCTTCCCAAGAATTCAATTAGTTTCACAAATTTTAAGAATATTCTTTAAAGTAATTCACTTATTTTCAATCAAATTTTAATTGAATTCATCTCAGAATTTAATTATTTTAAAAAATTTTAATAAAATTTATCGAAAGAATTTAATTATTTTCAAAAATTGTTATATAATTTGTTTATTAGAATTCAATTATTTAAAAGAGAATTTATAATTATGTATACAGTTTAAAAAAAAATATTTAAAGAATTTTTATAAAATTTTTCCCAAGAATTCAACTATTTTTAAAAATAATAAAATTCTTTGAAAAAAATCAATTATTTGCATAAAAAGCAAAATAACAATATTTATCAAAAGAATTAATTTATTTTCAAAAATATTAAAATCCTTCGCAGAAATTCAATTATTTCCAAAATTTTTGCCAAATTTTTCGTCAGGAACTAAATTTTCTCCATAAATAATTGAATTCCTCACAGAAATTCAATTACTTTCAAAATAATTTTTAAAAAAACCCCATTAATTTAATACTTTTCATAATAAATAAAATTTTGTCAAAGGATTTCAATTATTTTCAAAAATTTTAATAAAATTCTTCATAAAAATTCAATTATCTTCATCAAAAATAAAATTCTTTTGAAGATTTCAATTATTTTCATTAATAATAAAATCCTTCGGAGGATTTCAATTATTTTCAAGAATTTGAAACAAATTCTTGTCAAGAATTTAATTCTTTTCATAAATAATTGAATTCTTCTCAGAATTTCAATTATTTTCATAAAATTCTCGATAAAAATTCAATTATCTTCATAATAAAATAAAATTCTTTGAAAGATTTGAGTTATTTTCATTAATAATAAAATTCTTCGGAGGATTTCAATTATTTTCAAAAATTTGAAAAAAATTCTTGACAAGAATTCAATTTTTTTCATAAATAATTGAATTCTTCTCAGAATTTCAATTATATTCAAACAAAATTTTCATAAAATTTGTTTATTATAGAATTTAATTATTTTCAAAAATTTCAATAAAATTCTTCTCAGAAATTCAATTATTTTCAAAAATTTTAATAAAATTGTTCTCAGCAATTCAATTATTTTCAAAAATTTTAATCACATTCTTGTCCAAAGTTTAATTATTTTTTTAAATCAAAAAATTCTTCTCAGAAATTCAGTTATTTTCAAAAACTTTTAACAAATACTTGGTAAGAACTCAATTATTTTTTTAAATGGTAAAATACTTCAGAGAAATTTAATTATTTTCAAAAAGCATTTCAAATTTATTTTTTAAGTTTTAATGAAATTCATCGTAGGAATTTAATTACTTTTATAAATTCTTGAATTTCCCAATGGAATTTAATCATAATTAAAAATTGTAATATAATTGCTATATAAAATTCAATTATTTTAAAAAATTTAAATAAAATCCTTCGCAAATAATATCAATTATTTTTACTAATGTTAATAATATTCATCGAATAAATTCACTTATTTTCAATAAAATTTCAATTGAATTCATCTCAGAATTTAATTATTATTTTTACATAATTTTAATAAAATTCTTGTCAAGATTTGAATTTTCTTCAAAAATAATAAAATTCTTCTCAGGAAATTTATATTTCGCAGAAATTCAATTATTTGATTAAAATTCATCGAAAGAATTCAATTATTTTGAATCCAATTGTAATTACATTCCTCTAAAGAAGTTAATTATAAAAATTATAACATTAAAAAAAAATTAAACCAAATTACTTGTCCCATGAGGAAGCAAAAATAGTCTAGTTTTTTTTAGAAAATAAATATGATTAATCGAATGTGACACAATGTGTATTTTTCTGATGTAAAAGTCCCTAAAATTACATGACGGAGTAAGAGAGAGAGAGAGAGGAATTAAAAATCTCAAAAAAAACTGCGTGTCATCATTTCTGAACGTTTCCATAAAAAGAATAATTTTTGAAAATATTTATTCTGAAAAATTATTTTGTTCAAATTTTTCCTATTGTAACAACTGTACAAAGACTAATATGTAATTCAATTGAAACAATTTTTTCCTTAATATGATTATTATTTTATAAATAATAGGTTTTTAAACAAAAATATTTTCAATTTCTCCAAACTTTAGTTTGGAAAACTTTTTCATATCAATTGAATTTGAACTTTATTAAAAATAACATGAATTTTACAGAATTGTAAAAGATTGAAAATTCTGAAGATTTCAATTCAAAGTCAATTAAGATTTTAATCGTTAAAATTTTCAACATTTTAGGATTTCAATTTTTTGAAATAAAAATTTGAATTAAAAATTTCTAGAAGCTAGTTTTGATTGGAAATATTTTTTGAAAATTTCACTAAATAGTTGAAATAGGGGGTAAAATTTAAAAAAAAGGTGAATAGGCCACAGTCTGCGATTCTCTGTTAATAGTATTCGTTAATTTAGAAAAATTAATCAATTAAATTACTTAAATTAATTAAATTAAAAATTAGTTAGAGAAAATATTCGTATTTTAAAAATCACTTTTACCTGATAAGTTGCTGCATCCAAATTTGATGCCGAAACGTAGAGAAGATTATTTTGTATAATATAGATTAAAGATGGCACGCAAACTTTTAATGTATCCAATGGTTGCTTAATAATTGTCGTATTAAGAGAATTGAAGAATTTCGAAAAACTCCCTTCCTCAATGTACACGAGACTTAAACAGGTAATTAGTTTCACTACTTCCGCCATTACTACCGCTGAAAATGAAAATTATTTTTATTTTTCAATTTATAAATATTTAATATTTTTGAATTGAAAATCGAAAAATTAACCAATAGTTAAATAAAAATGGATTAAAATTAAATTACACTGATAGAGTGATTTAATTAAAAAAAATATTAGAAGAAAAAAATATTTCTAATTATTTAAATTAGATTTAATTTAAAAATACTAACCAGTAGACGATAAAAATCTCTCCCCCGGCCTAATGCGAGAATATCGCATGCTAAGACTGACAAGAGCATTTTGCACCGAAAGAGTTACCAGACTCATATACTTGAGATATTGACTATTTTCTGAAAAGAAAATAATTTTCGTTTTACAATAAAAATTATAATTTTTTAGTCACTTGTATCAAGAGTTAAAAATTTACAAACAAATTGACAAAAAAATATATTCGGAAAATTTTAAATTTAAAGAAGAATTTAAAATGTTTTTCTATACTTTAGAGAAAAAATATAATTAACTAAAATTATATTATTAACTAAAAATATAATTAATTATCCATACATGACAAAATAATTAACTTACGTTGAGGATGTTTGGACATAGTAGATGAATTTTCGGAGTTCTCACGAAATTGCTGATTACCATTCACCATTTGTGACCATGTTTCCTAAAAATTCATTATTTATTTTAAATATAAACATAACTTACATCTATTTACATTAGATTAGATAAAATTTGCGCATGTAAAAAATTACCTTCCTCCTCTTCACTGTCATTTTCTTTTAAACAAAAAAAAATGTTTTCCTTCTATTGAAACGGTGGAAACTAAAATTGAACTGATTTTCAAACTAAAAGTTCGAATGACTCAAAATCATCACAAATGAAATTTTCACTTATCAGTAAATTAAGCTATTAAACTATTAAGCAATTTCCCAAACAAGAATTCTTGTATTTTAAAATCTGCCACGTTATACTAAATTTAGGATGTAGAGAATCTTCAGACTTTCCAATCTGTTCTTTTTTTTCTTTTATCGCAGTTTCTTTTCTTTACAAAAAGCGAATATGACAGGAAAAAGGAATAGTTAACTGTCAATATATGAGAGAAATGTTACACACCTTTATGAATAATTCCAAACACGTTGTTCCTTTTTTTCGGGGCTAAAATGTATTTGATGGTCAAGAAGTAGAGTATTTGTGTTAATTCACAAACTCATCATTTGACACTTACACCTTACACACGCGTGAATGTTTTTCCTTTCCCTTTCTCATGTATATACATATTGTTATCGACACATATATACGCGAATATCCACGAAACGAATTATTTACTTTTTTTATTGTAAGAAATAAAATAATAGTTGATAATATAGAGGTCAAGGAGCCCTGGTAACAATTAACAGGATTAACAGTTATAAACTTTTTGGAAAAATGGCAGTATTTGTCGAAAAGGAATTTAAAATTTTTACTTTTACGAGTTTTGAATTTAAAAAATAATTAACAATTTTTAATAGAGCTTTAAATGCTATGAATTGTGCTTTAAAATAAACTATTAAAAAAAGAATTTTATAGGTTAAAGTTTAAAAGGTTTTTGACATTTCAATCGATTCGGTTCAATGTCAATGCAACAGATGTCGCATTATTTTCGGCGCGAAAATTTGAATAGAAATGAATGAAAATATATTTTCCAATTAATTCTTTTGACATTTGCGGCTAATCCGATAATTTATTTTTAACAGAAAAAAATTCTTTATAGAATTGATATGCTTTCGATAAGAATAGTTTTTTATTCAATGATTAAATTTTTAAATTATAATTATAAGATTATAAGATTATTAGGTTGGCTAAACTGGTGGGACTTTCTGATTTATCGTTTTCAAGTTGGTAGCATCTAGCAGTAGTATATAGAAGAAGCAGAAGAAATAATCATGTCGTTATAAAAAGTAATTAATAATCATAAAAATGGTGTCAATAATAAAAAATCAGTTGTTAAAACATCTCTCGAGGTATGTTTCCCTTTTTTTTCTTCCCCTCAAAATTAGACTTTGTGTTTTTCTTTCCTTTATTTTTTAAATAGACAATAAATTGCACCGCCCTTGACATTAGTTCATTAGAATCAGATTTTTTATTCTTTTCGTAGCTTTAAGGAAACTACGAAGAACTACGTATTTTCTCTTTGAACTTTCTAAATAATATTGCCCACTGTGTTTTTTCGGTGAATTCTATATTTTATCTGAGAATTTTTTTCAAATTTTCCTTCTGTTCGAAAATTCTTTATTTTTCCCATTTTGACAAGTATCAGCTGTCATAACACACTTGGAATTTTTATAATAATATCCACACTTTCTCGTTGTAATAACTCGTGAAAGTTTCAATTTCACTCACTCGGACTTTGCAATAAATTGAAAATTATTCATTTAGAAATTTCCATCTTTTCAAGAATAAAAAAAATGGAATTCTTCGCTTTATGGTATTCCCATAAAGAAATTTTTTTATTTCATTGTTTTTAATTTTTAATTAGAGGAGAATTATTATTTTTTGTTTTAGATTTACGAAAAATTTATCGGCGGATAAAATTAATTTAAGTACATTTAAGGGAGAAGGAGAGCTTTCAAATTTAGAATTAGATGAAATAGTGTTGACGGATTTATTGGAATTACCGTCATGGTTACGTTTGACTAGATCCTGGTGCAATAAAGTCACATTTCGAATACAATGGACGAAATTAAAAAGTGTTCCTATTTTTCTGGTAAGACGGAGAAAATCAAAAAAAATGTTTTCTTTTTGTTTTAGAGATTTAATTTAATTTAAATTTATTTTATTGAATTTTTGATTTATTTTAGAGCTTAGATGAGGTGCATATAGAAGTTGAAACTGTCGAGGATTTAAGAAGCATGTCATCGCCTCAAGGATTATCCTCTTATGCAGGACCTGCGAAATATTCTTTCATTCATAAAGTAATCGATGGAATAACTGTCGCTGTCAACACTGTTTCTGTTAAATTTAAAAGTCCAGCGTTTATTGCTAAAGTTCAGGTAAAAAGAATAAATAATCTATTTTCTATTTTAATAGAATTGAATTCTCGTAAACCTTTATAATAAAAATTAATTTAAAAATGGATTTTTAGAAAAAATTAAATTTCAAAGGATTTTTGAATTGTAATGTTTGAAAATTTTAATTGTTGCAAAACTGTAATAATATTTTAATTTTTGAAAAAATTTATGAATTTTGTAATAATTAAAAATTTTTGATGATATTTAAATTCCAGAAAATAATAGAAAAAGATTAAATTAAATTTTCAATTATTTGGAAATTTTATCAAATGTAATTGAAATAAATTTTTTAATTTAAAGAATTTTATTATTTTAACTTTTAAAAAATATTTTTAAATTATATTTGTCTTTTTGGAGAATTAAAATTTCGAAAATAATTGAATATTGCAAAAGTTTAGAATTGAAATTATTATCAATCAGGATAAGAAAAAAAAAATTTCTTTAAATGAAAATTAGGAAAAAGTCAGAATAAAATTTTTGTGAATTGTCTAAAACGGGTTTTTTTGTTGTCAAATTAATTTTTCGATTGCTACTTTTTTTTAATACTTTATTCATTTTTAATGATAATTTTTGTTACTTTTTTAAATTTAATTATCAAGTGTCTGAAGAAAGAGAAAAAAAATTCTAAAATATGAGAAATTTATGATTTTGAAGAAATTTTTATGGTGATTATAATTTGCAGATGTCACGTATAATGGTCGAATCGAAATCCCCAACATGGCAACGTAGTGATCTGCGAATGACGAGAGTGAAAGATCCGGATCGGGGGCAATTGTTGATTTTCAAAGAACTCGAGTGGCAAACGGTGAGAATTGAAGCTTGGAGCACCAAAGACAAGGACCTTACGCCACTTCGTTTGCTTACCAATCAAGCACGATGTAGAATTACAATTAAAAAAAGACTTTCAGGTAAAAATATCTTTCGAAATAACTTTTAAATAACTCTTTTTAAAAATAGTGAAAAACACTTTTCAAAGATAGTAAAATACTCCTTTTAAAGATAGTAAAAAGTACTTTCTAAAGATTAAAAATTGAAATTATTTACCAAGTATTTAATTTTTCTTTTTTGCAGATTGTTTTGTGATAGGATCAAGGTTAGTAATAATTCTAGATGACCTGCTCTGGGTTTTGACTGATTCCCAATTAAAGGCTGCTCTTCATTTCATTGATTCCCTGGGTGGTTTAATTGAAAAAGCGACGGTTCTCGAAAGAAAAACAAAGGCTGCTCGAAAATTAGAGGTTCGTAGTTATTTTTTGGTTTATTTATTTTGTTATTTGCCAAATGATTAATTTTTTTGATACAATACCCGATAATTTTCTTATAAAATTTATTTTTTATTGTTCATTTATTTTTTAGTGTTTACCAGAATATCAGGCACAAGTTTCACAACAAACGCGATCAAAGAGTGCCAGTCACACGCCAATTTCGAAAATATTCTCAAGATACGATGTCTTTGAAACGTCCTATCATTTTCTTTCGCAGAGAATCGATTTACATTTATGTGACGATCCTGGAGGTAAAATTAATTAAATAAATTATTATTATTATTGTAAATTAATAGTATTGATTGTATTAATATTAATATTATTATTGTAAATTCATAAAATTGATTATATTAATATTATTATTGTAAAAATATTATTTTTATAGTAAAATATAATTCGAAAATAATTGCAGTTGGAAGATCTCTTCATCCGGATTTGCAGGACGGCGGCGCGCTTCAGATTTCATTGGTGAAATTTCAAGTAGATTATTATCCGTACCATTTGGCAATTGCCGACAGAAAGCACTGGGCGCTTTATAAGGAGAGCGCCGTTCCTCACAGTCAATGGCTACAACAGTCTTTAAATGCTTTTCGAGGACAATTTATGGAGCTTATCGATTCCGGAAGAACTCAACATTCGCCTCTAACTCGTACCCAAGCAAATGCGAGCGGTGAGTTATTTGCTTCTTTAAAAATTCTTTTTTGCTTTTGAAAAAAACAAATATTTCCTTTTAAACTTTTATGTAAAACATAAATTTTAGATTTTTAGATTTCAGCAACTAAAAGTTACTTTTTTCCTTGTTTCGAGAATTTGCACTACTTAAATTCGTTAATAGTTAAATTTAATTTAATTTAATTTAATTTAATTTAATTTAATTTAATTTAATTTAATTTAATTTAATTTAATTTAATTTAATTTAATTTTAATTTTAATAAAATTTTAAATAAAAATATTCTCTTCTAATCATAAAAATAACTACAGGTAACAGTATGAAATCAAGCGGAGACGAATCGGATAAGCCTTCAATTCAAAGTACCGGATCGCAGGAGAAAAAAGCTTCCCCACATCCAAGTGGAAATCCCGTGAAAAATCACGTTCTTGAACAATTGGCAAAATTAATGACGACCTGCATTGTTATTCGAGTCGATGACTTCACACTCTATAAAGTTACAACAGGATCACGAAAGCCCGTACCAAAAGAATTTGTCCTAGGTAAATTACAAACAAAAAAAATAAATTTTTTCCCAATTCGGGATTTATTGGTTTTTCAATAATCTTTTTTAAACCTATTGTGTACAGCTCAATCGAGGAAAAAGCATTCACCAGGTATAAAAGATTGTAGATATAATGTCATAAGTGCTTGTGTTGATGTAGCAGAAGTATTTAAAAAGAAAAAAAAAAGTTTGTTTATCAAAATAATGCATTTACTATAGAAATTTAGAAAGAGAGAAAGTAATTCGTTCCAATATTGTTTATAAAAATTTTATCATCGATAAAATGATTATTTTCTCACACACACACACATATCACAGGAAAAATTGGGTCAAATTTGTGTTTTAACCTTTAGTTACTACAAAAAAAGCATGTTGACATATTTTCTTTTTGAATTTAAATGGTTAATTGAAAAAATTTCTTTTTTGTTTAGGGGATAAAGACAGATTCTGTCTTCCGGAGGATGTGAATATTCTTCATGCGGAATTTACTTATTATTATTATCCAGGAGACATTACTTTTCCTCGTAAGTTGCTTTTTATTTCTCTCACTCTCTTTCTCTCTTTGCAAACCTTTCTTTTTTCGACTATTTTAAAAAAAATAACACTTTTTTACACTTATTTTCAAAATTTGATACTTTTCGACTTCTCTTTCAAATATTGCAACAAAATACCAGATTTTTAGTAGAAACTACAACTCATTTCGATTTTTATAGTGTAAAAATTATAACTATAGATAAATCTTTCAAAAATTATTTTTGAATCATTTTTCTAATTAAATTTTCGAAATAAACAATTAAAAAGATTTTGAATAATTGGAATTTTGTAAAATTTAATTGAAATTAATTTAATTTAATCAATTATTATTAATTTTTCTCAAGTAATTTATTACAATTTTTAAAAATCAACTTTTGAAGAATTTTAATTGCAAATTTTTAAAATAATTTAATTCTTAAAAATATTAATAAAAAATCTTTAAAAAATTCATAGTTTTTTCTATATTCTTCAAAAATTAATTTAATTCTTGATAATTTTTCTTTTTAAATGAGATTTCAAAGTTTAAAATTAATGTTTTTAAAATAAATAAATTCTTATTAATAAATTTATCAAAACTTTATTAAAATTTTAAAATAATTGTACCTTTTCGAGAAATTTTATTGAAACTAAATTGAAGATAATTGAATTTAACAGTTTAACTTTATTATTTACAAAAAATAATTTAATTCTTGCGAAGAATTTTATTGAATTATTTAATAATATTTAAATTCTTTTGAAAAAATTTTATTAAAATTTATTGAAATTTTATAAAAAATCTTTTAAATAATTGTTTTTTTGTCGAAAACTTTTATGAAAATTGTATTTAAAAATAATTGAATTTCTGTGAAAATTTTATTATTTTATAAAGATAATTGAATTCTCCGGAAGAATTTTAATAAAATTTTTGAAAATAAATTAAATTCTGCGAGAAATTTTATTATTTTTAAAGATAATTGTATTTTTAGGAATAATTTTATTAAAATTTATGAAAATAATTGAAATTCTCTGAAGAATTTTATTAAAATTTTTGTCTTTTTTGAAAAATAATTGAAATCCTCCAATGAATTTTATTTTTTAAGAAGATAATTACATTCTCGGGAAGGATTTTAATAAAATTTTTGAAAATAAATGAAACTCTGATGAATGTTATTATTTATGAAAATAATTGAAATCTTCAACAGAATTTTATTTTTTATGAAGAAAATTGAAATCTTGCTAAGAATTTTACTAAAATTTTAATAAATAATAAATAATAATTACAATTCTAACAGAACAATAATTAATTTTGTAATCTTTTTTCAGTGCCATTACCAAAGTTCTACGTCCAACTGAATCCAATACAAATTAATTTCGATATTTGCTCCTGTCTTTGGTTTAATTCGTTTCTATTGAATCTTTATTATTCACTTTTGGGCGACGGAAAGAAAAGTGCGACAAACACCGCTAATCTTATGTATTTTGATGTTAAAATCGAAGCAATATTGCCAAGAGTAAGTAATTTTTTTTAAAAGAAATTAAATTAAATTTAATTTAATTTAATTAAATCTTAGTTTTCGAAATTTTTTAGATTCACGATTAAAATTTTAAAAAATAACATTTTTAGGTTGTTTTCGAGAATCAACAGGATTATCCAAATCAAAAAGACAGACCGAAATCCCTCCATATTCAAACTTCAAGAGCGACAATAACAAATGTCAGATCAACGGAAAGATCATCGAGAGCTGATTTAGCGCAATGTCTCAATGCATTTCAAATGGGGCAAATGTTTTTTGGCACCGAATTTCCCAATAAACCAGACGATTTTCATGTTGTTACGGAAAAATTTCTACAACACTGTGCAGGTAATTGGTCATTTCTTCTAGAAATTGAAAAGAAAAAATTGTCTAGTGTATTTTAGGTTTAACTTTATCGAGATCTTTTTTAAATTAAAAAAACTATAGTGAAGAAAAAATAAAAGTTAAAAGGAATTAAAATTAAAAAAACTAGTGAAGAAAAAATAAAAGTTAAAAGGAATTAAAATTAAGATTAAAAAATCTAGTGACGAAAAGATAAGAATTAAAAGGAATTAAAATAAAAAAAAATAGTGAAGAAAAAATAAGCATTGAAAGGAATTAAAATTAAAATTTTAAAAAAGATGGAAAAGAGAAGAGATTGAATTTATTCAAAAAATCAAAATTGTTTAATTGTAGGTACAGACAGAATTCGATCGGTTCCCGACAATTTCAGCAGCAATTCAGTGAACGAAATGGTGCGACAATTGAAGAGGGAACTTCTTTGGATGGAGGCAAAGGATGTTTGGTGCTGTAATTTCGAGCCAGTTTGGGGCGATTTTTTCGGAGCAAGAGCCGTGGGGCAAAATCGGCCAGTTCCATTTTTAGACGCTTTTCCATTAACACTTTGGATTCATATGAAAACGGAAGACAAAAACGAGGAGTCTTCGTCGACTTCTAAAATTCCCTCGGCCGATATACATGGACTTGCTTACATTAGTAATCTCATTAGTGTACAAATTAATCACTATCAATTTCTATTTCTCCTGAGACTCTCGGAAGCAGTGACTGAAATGGCCACTTACTTGAATGTCGATTCGAATAAAATTCTCAAAGTCGAGAGAGGAAGTTCGATCGTTATCGGGGCGCTAATTCCTCAGGTATTTATTTTATTTTTCATCATCATCATCTTGCTCTTGTTCTTGTTGTTCTTCTTTTTTTCCTTCTTCTTTTCCTTCTTCTTTAATATTTAATTTTTAATTTAAATAAATGTGACGCTTTCCTGTCAAACGAAAAATAATTTTGCCGCGTAAGATTCACAAGCTTTGCATTCGATTCACAAAAATGACAAAAATTTGATTCTGTATTTAATTTTCATGACTTTTTTCTAATTTTCATTGAAAATATTTACTTCTTTTTTTATCCTGCTAAAAACTTCAATTCTAAATTTTTGCAAAATTCTATTATTTTCTAAATTTTAATTTCAAATTCAACAAAAATACGATATTTGAAAATAATTTTTTAAAAAATACTTGAAAATAATTTACTCTCAATAAACTTTAAATAAAAATTCTCAAAAGGATTCAATAATTTTTTTACATTTTAATTAAAATTTTTTTGAAAGAATTCAATTATTTTCAAAAGTTTTAATAAAATGGCAAGAATTTAATTACTTATGAAAATAATTAAATTCTCGTCATTTTATCAAAACTTTTGAGAATAATTGAATTCTGTCAAAAAATTATACTACAATTTTGGGATTTCAAAATTCAGTTATTCTTTAAAATTTTCATAAATTTTTAGACACAATTTCAATTATTTTGAATTCTTCTTATGAATTATTAATTAAATATTAAATTATTTTCAATACAATTTTAATAAATTTTATCTAAAAAATCCAATTATTTTTGAAAAATTTAAATAAAATTCTACAAAACAAATCAAAATTGAAGAAATTACTTATTTTTGATAATAATTGAATTTTTGCGAAGAACTTCATTAAGTTTTTCAAAAATAATTTAATTTTGTCAAAAAAATTGATTAAAATTGTATTAAAAATAATTGAAATCTTACAATGAATTTTATTATTTATGAAAATAATTGAATTCTTGTGAAAAATTTTAAACAAGTTTTTTTAAAATTTTGTAAAGAATTTTATTATTTATAAATTAATTGAAATTCTGGCAGGAATTTGATTTATATTTTTAAAAATAATTAAATTCTTGGGACGAATTTTATGAAATTTTTTTTTAATATTAATTGGATCTTGTAGAGAAACTTTATTAAAATTGAATATTGAAAATGATTGAATTCCTCTGAAAATTTTATTATTTATCAAAATAATTCAATATTTGTAGAGAATTTTATCAAAATTCTTTTTAAATAATTGAATTCTTTAGGGAAATTTTATTAAAATTAAAAATAATTGAAGTTCAAAAAATTTCTGAAAATAATTGAATTTATTTCGAGAAATTTTATTAAAATTGTATTGAATATAATTTAATTTCTCAAAAAAATTCAATTATTTATACAGAAAATTGAATTTTTTTCGAGTCATTGTTTAAAATTTTTGAAAATAATTGAATTTTTTTGAAGTATTTTACCGTTAAAAAAAATAATTTAATTCTTCCGCGGGAATTTGTTTCAATTTTCTGAAAATAATTCAAATTCTGTGAAGAATTCAATTATTTATGAAAAAAATTGAATTCTTGACAAGAATTTGTTTTAAATTGTTGTAAATAATTGAAATCCTTTAAAGAATTTTATTTTTTATGAAGATAATTGAATTCTTGCCAAGAATTTTATTAAAATTGTATTTATTTGATAGTAATTAAATTTAAGTGAAAAATTCAATTATTTTTGAAAAATTTGAATTCTTGACATGAATTGTTCAATTATTTTCAAATTTTTGAAAATAATTGAAATTTTCCGAAGAATTTTGTTTTATTAATGAAAATAATTGAAATCCTCCGAAGAATTTTATTATTTATGACAATCATTGAAATCTTTCAAAGAATTTTTTTTGTGAAGATAATTAAATTCTTGTGAAAAATTTTATTAAATGTTTAAAAAATATTTCAAATTTTGTGAAGAATTCAATTATTTGTGAAAAAATTTGATTTTTTGCGAGAATTTTTATTATTTATAAAAATAATTGAATTCTTGCTAAGAATTTTATTAAAATTTATGAAAATAATTGAAATTATCCGATGAATTTTATTATTAATGAACATAATTGAATTCTTGTTAAGAATTTGATTGTTCTTAAAAATAATTAAAGAATTTTGTTTTAATTTTAATTTTATTTAAATAATAAAGAATTTTATGAAATTTATTAAAATAATTGAAATTCTCCTATGAATTTTATTAAAATTAGTAGTTAATTGTAAAAAAAAATTAGTGGATAGTATTTATTTTTAGTAAATGAGTGCAAAACCTGGATTATTAATTTCGTCGAAAAATGGCATAAATAAAAACAAAAATCTTCGTTTACAGATTGAAGTGACATTCATCATGCCCTCGCAAACTCCAGGAAAGGAAAATTCTGGTGGCGATTTGGAGTCCGTCGTTCCTGACTCGTCGAGCATTGCCGACATCGAATTCGGTGGTCCGTCGTCCCTGTGGCAGACGAATGCAACAGCGGCGCGAGTCGATTACAGTACGAAGCGAATGAACACAAGCAATGACGTCGAGACACCGCAAAGTGAAGTTTCATCAATGCTCTCAATGGATTTCTCCCATATGAATGTTTCCCAGACTGTCGTGACCTTTCAACAAAATGGAACGAATAATAAGCACGAACCGTCGGAGAAGAAATTAACGAGAGCGAGACCCGAAAATATCAAAGTCGAAACATCAAATTCGCCATTCACGTCGAATAATTTGAGTCTTTCGTCGATGAAAAAGGGATTTAGTAATTTAATGACGTCTTTGGACTCGGCGTTGAAACCGTCGCCGGAGGATGGTTGCAGTGATACGGTCTCGATGAGAAGTGATGCGAGTTCCGATAGTGAGAATTATGTTGTGGTCTCTTTGGAGGATCAGGAGAAAATGGACGCGACTTTTGCTCTTGATAATTCAATCAGAGTTGCTGCCGTTGAAGAGGCGAGCGAAGTTATTGAAGAGACGCCGGATACGCAAAGTGAAAAGTCCTTGGATAGCGTTTGTAAACGAAAAGATTTGGTGCGTATAGTTTATTGAGAATTTAATTATTCTTAAAAATGTTAATAAATTTATTGGCTTAATTTCAATTATTTTAAATTCCTCGCTATAATTCAATTATTTGCGCAAATAATTTTTTGTTTATATTTTTTTATATTTATATTTATATTTATATTTATATTTATATTTATATTTATAGATATTTAGTAGAGTTGTGCAAAAAGCTCGATCGAGTATTTCAAGCTTTTCGTTTTTCTAGCAGAGCTGAGCAGAATCAATCCGAACTTGAACCAAATTCCATCCGACACGTGCAGTATTAAACCTAAAATAATTTTGAGCACTTGAATTTTTCGAGCACTCAAATATTTTTGAGTAACTAAAACTCGAGCCTGGCTCGAGTATCGAGCCCGGCTCGAGCTCGACCATGCTATTCGAGCTTTTTGCACACCTCTAATATTTAGTTATATTTTTTGCAAATTTAGAATTATTTTTCGTAATCTATTTCTTCTATAATTAATTTAATTCGTTTTAGGTATCAATGGTGACGTTTAAACTCTCAAAAGTTGAAGTTATTCAACAGTCAAATGGATTTTCATCGGCGATAAAAGTTCAGGTCTCAAATATTGCCAGTGATGAGTGTTCGTCAATTCCTTGGGACGAATTTCAGGTAAAAATTCAATTTTCTGTATATAATTCTTTTTCTTCTTACTAAAAACAAAAAAAAATCTTTTAACTAATTTATCCTTTGCGAGGCAGATTTGCAAATTAATATTTCCGTATTATATATATATATATAATATATATTTATTGACAACACAAATTTATTGCAGTACTATTATCATCTTTATTACACAAGGAACACATCAAATTTTTTTCTTTATCTATTTCTCTTAAAAATATCATTTAACTTAATTCTTGTTTTTCATTAATTAATTTTCTATTTCAATTTGAATATCTATTTAAATATCTATTTGAATTTTTCATTACTAAATTTTCTATTTGAATTTGAATATCTATTTAAATAATTATTTGAATTTTTCATTACGTAATTTTCTATTTGATAAATAAATATATTTATATATAAATGAATAAATTAAATAAATTAAGTGAATTAAATAAATTTATATATAAATATTTTCTATTTGATTTTAGTATTTTCTATATAAAAGCAGTTTGCTTTCTATCACTTTAAGAAAAAGCAATTTTTCTGTTTGAATTTTATTGATATAATATATTTATACATTTTTCAATTACATATTTATACAATTTTTGTCTTTAAAAATTTTTTTGCATGCCTTCTCCCGCGTCTCTCCTTCTCTTGTGAATGTTTTTATGTGGCACTTGTGGCAGGCCAAGGGAAAGGTATTGGCAAAATATTTATAATAATTAATTAATTAGACCCAACGACGGTTGTTGCATGTCAAAGTAAACAACAGTTTTTCGTAGTTAACTCGGACTTTTTTTCCAGTATTTGAAAATTTCTTTTTTCTTTTTTTTTCTTCCTTTGATTTGAATTATATTTGAGATAAAAAATAATTCGATTATACATATTTCAAGTCTGAGGGAAAATTATATTTAGAAAATTAATTATAATTAGAAAATTTCAATCAGTAGGAATAGTAAAATAAAAATTATTGCTTGTAAACTGTTGCTTGAGCTTGAGAAAAAAAAACGCGCATGCTTTAAATGCAATTTGTATATAAATACAAAAAGAAGGATATTCCTTGGACGAATATCGCAGCTTTTTTTGCATACCTCAAAGCTTTCTGTGTTTTAATATCCAAATACTTTAAAAAAAAAAAAACAATGGACTTGGAATTCGAAAATTAATTTTCGTATTTCTTTCTTGAACTATTTTTAAATCACTTTTTAGTGAATTAGAAACAATATAAATAAAAAAAGTAAAAAAAGTAAAAAAATCGTAAAAAGAAATTAGAAAAGAAAAAAGAAATAAATAATAAAAAATTAATAAAAAAAACAAAAAAATAAGGAAAGTAGTAAATAAAAAAAGAAGTAAAAATTAAAGAAAGAAATAAAGAAAAAATAGAGAACAAAATAAAAAAAGAAATAAAAAATGAAATTTATTTAAAATGAAATTAAAAAGAAAGTAAGAAAGAAATAAAAAAAGAAGCAAAAGGTAAAGAAAGAAATAAAGAAAAAAAAGTAAAAAGTAAAGAACGAAAGAAATAAAAAAATTAGTAAAAAATAATGAAAAGAATAAAGAAAAAAATAAATAATAAAAAGAAGTCAAAAATAAAGAAATAAATAAATAAAAACGAGATAAAAAATAAAGAAAGGAGTAAAATATAAAGAAAGAAATAAAAAAGAAGTAAAAATTAAAGAAAGGAGTAAAAAATAAAGAAAGAAATAAAAAAGAAGTAAAAATTAAAGAAAAGAGTAAAAAATAAAGAAAAAAAATAATAAAAAGAGAAATAAATAGAAAAAGCAAAGCAAAGAAAAACAAAATGTTCGAACTAGAAATAGAATAATTTACAAAACAAAAAAATAAAAATTAGCGCTGCTTTTGAAATTGATTTCCATTTTCCATAAAATATTAAAATTGCAAATATGAATTCTCTTTTCTAGACAAAATTCAGTTCGAGAACAAGAGGATGGGTTGAATTGCCCTCTGATTCGGAGTGCAGAGCAAAAATTAAATTGAGATTGGAGCACTGCCTCAAGGACAAGGAGGATTCGAGGAGATTATCACAAGCGAGTCAAAGTACTTACAGCAGTAGGTCTTCCCAGGATCGAGGGAGATTTGCCGGCGATATTGAATCGGAAAATTCTGCATTTAACATTTGCGATAAGCAAAGTGTCATGGCTCTATTTAAAGATCATGTCAATATCAAAGTTTCGAATGTTAATTTAACATTGTGCATGAGTTCAGTCACTGGCCTCACGGACTTAATTGAGGACGAAATTATTCCCAAGCCCATTCCAGTTGAGGTTTGTTTGCTTCTAATTTTTCATTGTTTATTATTAAATATAAGTAAATTAGATCGAGGAAATTAATAAATTAAATTGAGGAAATGAATTAAGTAAAAGAAATTAATGAAGTAAATTAAAGAAATTAACTAATTAAATCACTGAAATTAAGAAAATAAACTGAGGAAATTAACTAATTAAATCAAAGAAATTAATAAAATATATTCAAGAAATTAATTCATTAAATTAAAAAACGAATTAAGTAAAATTAAAAAAATTAATTCTTCGCAAGAATTAAATTATTTTTATAAATAATGAAAATCTTCGAAGAATTTCAATTATTTTCAAAAATAATAACATTCTTCGGAGGATTTAAATTACTTTTCTAAATTTTAATAAAATTCTTTGCAAGATTTTAATTATTTTCATAAATAATAAAATTCTTCTTACAAATTCAATTATGTTCAATAAAATATTAACTACATTCCTCCAAATAATTTAAAATTTCATCGAAATAATTATATTATTTTTCAAAAATTTTAATATAAATCTTTGCAAGATTTCAATTATTTTCATAAATAATAAAATTCTTTAAAGCATTTCAATTATTTTCAAAAGTTTGAAACAAATTCTTGTCAAGAATTCAATTTTTTTAAAATAATTGAATTCTTATGAGAATTTCAATTATTTTCAAAACAATTTTCATAAAATTCTTGTCAGGAATTCAATTATTTTTTAAATCAGAAAATTCTCCTCAGAAATTCAATTATTTTTTTAAATGCTAAAATACTTCACAGAAATTCAATTATTTTCAAAAACTTTAAACAAATTCTTGTTCAAAATTTAATTTTTTTTCATAAATAATTGAATTCTTCAAAGAAATTTGATAAATAATAAATTTCTTCAATTTTAATTAGTTTCGAAGAATTTTAAAATAATTTTTAAAATTACGTAATTGAATTTTATCGAGAAATTGGATTAAAATTTAATTGAAAGTTAACGAACTCATGAGTAGAATTCAAAATAATTAAAATTGTGCTTTAAAAATTTATCAAAGTTTTTAAGAATTAATTGATTTCAATTATTTTCATAAAAAATAGAAATCTTTGGAGAATTTTAATTATTTTCCAAAAATTTTAATATAAATCTTTGCAAGATTTTAATTATTTTCATAAATAATAAAATTTTTTGAAGGATTTCAATTATTTTCAAAAGTTTGAAACAAATTCTTGGTAAGAATTCAATTTTTTTTTAAATAATTGAATGCTTCACATAAATTCAATTATTTTCAATATAATTTTAATAAAATTCTTGAGACGAATTCAATTATCTTCATAAAAAATAAAATTCTTGGGATGAATTCAATTATCTTCATGAAAAATAAAATTCTTGGGAAAAATTCAATTATCATGATAAAAAATAAAATTCTTCTTAAGAATTTAATTATTTTTATTAATTTTAATAAAATTCTTCGCAAGAATTCAATTATTTTCATAAATAATAAATTTTTTTAAATTTTCATTTTTCTTGAAGTTTTATTAAAATTGTATTGACAATAATTGAATTCCCGAGAAGAATTTTATTATTAATAAAAATAATTGAATACTTGAGAAGATTTTAATAAAATTTCTGAAATGAATTCAATTATTTAATGTTAGATTCAATTTTTTTTGTAATGTTAATAAAATTTTTTGAATGAATTCAATTATTTTCAAAAGTTTTGATAAAATAACAAGAATTGTATTACTTATGAAAATAATTGAATTCTTGACAAAAATTTCTTAAAATAATTTAATTGTTTCGAAGAAAATTAAAATTCTTTGAAGAAATTGAGTTAAGATTGTATTGATAATAATTGAATTTTTAATAATTAATTAATAATATTTTTTTTAATATTCTTAAATTTTTTTAGATCTTGTTGGAAAATATCGCAGTAACATTAAACGAAGATCGTCCTCCAAATAATATAACGTCTCCTGGGCCAATTCCCATAGATTTAATTATTTCCCGTCTGAGGATATTACGAGGAACCGATGGAGTTTTTCACATTGAACCAGCTGGTGAGAATTGTTTTCTTTTATAATTTTGTGTTTAAATAAATATTCCAGAACTCGGAGTGTTCGAAAAATTTAAAAATTACTTTATTAAAATTAAATACTAACATTTTTTTAAAAATATTTAACAGAAAAATTTTGTTTAATTAAGAATTAAAATTTTATTGTTAATACTAAATTCAATAAACTCAAATTAAATTAAAAAAAAATATTAAAATCATATTACATTGAAAACTACATAAAAATTAAAATAAAATTCAATTAAGTTGATTTAAATTGAACAGAAATTAAATTAAATTAAATTAAATTAAATTAAATTAAATTAAATTAAATTAAATTAAATTAAATTAAATTAAATTAAATTAAATTAAATTAAATTAAATTAAATTAAATTAAATTAAATTAAATTTATTTATTTAAAATTTACGAGCGGTGAAATTTTTTAAATTAATTAAATAATTAACTAAATTTAAGAATTAAAAACTTGTCTTTCTAATTTAAAGTCGCTCCGAGATCTGTTATTGTTACTTTTAAATTCGTTCAAACTGTCACTTGGAAATTATTTTTGTTATCTAGTAAATTGCAAAATTAGTGCCTAATTTTTTATTTATTAGGTTGAAAAATCTAAGAAAATATTTTATAAAAATGTATTTTTGGTAGCTTTTTTAATGCTAGGGCTTTTTTGTAAATAATCTGTAAATGCAGGCCTTGGATATTTGGATTTTTTCCGCCCATTTTTTAAAGACTATACTTTTCTCGACTTATTTTAACAAAAAAAAGGCGATTTGATTAAAATATTTTGAAAATGAAAATTTTTGAAAGAATTTAAATATTGCAAATTTTGAAAATCTAATCGAATTCACAAAAGTTTAGAAGAAAAATCTTCAAAAATTAAAATTTGAAAAAGAAATTTTATTTATTATCGAATTTTAATTGTTATTTTAGTTATTAAATTTTTTCCACTATTAAAGTAAATTAAATTAAATTAAAGTAAATTAAAGTAAATTAAAGTAAATTAAAATAAATATTGGAATTAATAAAAATAAGCTTTAAAAAACTATTTTTAAATATTTGAAAAAATAAAATAAGAACCGAGGCCTGTAAATAATGTAATTATTGTAAAAAGTATATTTGTCTTCATTAAGAATTGCAAGTGTCAGAAATTTGTATTTTTTTAATTTTGTATAATAATTGTTCTGTGCACTCGGAAGGGCTATCTTCGAATGTGAGCATTAGTTCAACACAAAGTAGACATTAGATATAGAATATTTATCCTTTTCATTTATTTAAAGAGCGACACTCTCAAATTTATACAAAAAAAATTAATTATTTCTCTGTGAATGTATTTTTAATATTGCTCTTTTTTCCTAGACTTTTTTTTTAGACAATAGCTTCTATTTAGATGCGCACGAAAAATTCGCATGATTTTGGTATGAAATCATTTTATTTTGAAGAATTAGTTATCAACTATTACGTATTAATTAATTTAATTAATTTCTAGAACGCAAATAATGAAAATTAATTCATTAATAAAAAAAGGAATTAAATTAAATTAATAAATTAAGTAATTATAATAAAAAATAGTTCATTACTTAATAAGTAATTAATTACTTTTTAAGTAATAACTAGAAAATAGTTAATTACTTATTAAGTAAATAATAAAAAGTAGTTAATTGCTTATTAAGTAATTACTAAGAAATAGTTTAATACTTATTAATTAATTAATAAACAATGAAGTAAATACTTATTGAGTAATTAATAAAAAATATTTAGTTACTTATCAAGTAATTAATAAAAAAATAGTTAATTACTCATCAAGTAATTAAAAAGAACTAGTTAAATGTTAATTAACAAATAAAAATGGAAATTAAATTAAATCAATATTTATTCTCAAATATTTTTTATTTCAGTAAACATTCTCCCGGAGAGTCAATCGAATCCAACGCTTTCGAATGGTTCAATTCAGAATAGAAGTGAAGCTGAATTAAATATTTTTAAACAATCTTGCAAGCAATTGAAATCTGATAATGAGGAACTAAAGAGACGTCTCGCTGCTTTGGAACGATTGGCGGAGGAAAATTCACGATTGCGATTTGTTAAAGAGGAATCGGATATGTTGAGATCGTGCTTGGAAATGTCGCAGGAGAATATTTCAATTTTAATGAAAGAGAAGAAAAATCTTCAGGAAGCTGTGACGAATCTTCAGGGTCAACTCGCTGGCGCTGGACCTAGTAACACTAGTCGAACTTCATGGTCAATGAAGAGATAGCACACTAGATGTTTTGACTGCTCTAAATGTTGCAGCGCCAATAAATCTTAGGTCCCATTTATTTTTTTCATTTCAACTACGAAAATTTATGGTCTTTCCCCTTTTGCCAAACAAATTTTTTCTAATTTTAAATTCATCGTTTTCCAGTTTGAGAATTTTAGCTATAGTAACTGCCATCGGTTATTTTAAATTGTTTTTAGAGAATTATTTTTAAAATTGTTTTTTAAAAAAAAGTTCCATTTATAATTCACGCCCATGAATTTAGCGTCGACGTTGAGCGACGATCGATATTTTTTTAGTTACATTTCTGTAAAAGAAAATTTCATTTCTTAAAATAATTTTCGACGCTAAGCGTTGACGCTAACTTTTCAGGAGTTCACGCCCCTGAATTTAGCGTCGACGCTAAGCGACAATAAATATTTTTTTAGTGTCATTTCGGTGAAAAAAATTAATTTCTAAAAATAATAATTTTTGTCGCTCAGCGTCGACGCTAAATTCAGGGACGTGAAGTCGAAAAATTTTTTTTTTTTTTTTTTTTTTTTTTTTTTCTCGAATTTAGCGTCGACGCTGAGCGATGAAAATTATTATTTTTCACATAACCGAAAAAAATAGAACAATTTTTTCAAAGTTTTCAACTTAAAAATAAATTTTGGAAAAATTTGTATCGTCCTAAGGAAATAAAAGAAAAAAATTTCCATTTCTGAAAATAATAATTTTTTTGACGCTGAGCGTTGACGCTAAATTTCCAAAGGGTTTTAGAACTCCAGAGAAAAATTCGACTGAAGTATTTTAAATTCTGAGGAATGAATGAAAAAATAATTCTTTGATTTCCTCTTTCGGTTGAAAAAAGAAAAATGAATTTATACGTGTAGAGAATAGATCCAAAATTAGTTTGTATGTTTCAAATTGTATATAATAATGTATGAAAATCTCTAGATGGAATTTTATCAGATTTTTTTCGTCTAGAAATGAAATTTAGTCTTTTTTTTGACTTATTGAGAAAAAAGAGACGTATTCTTTTTGAAAAATGAAAAATTTCAAAAAAAACTCCATTTTTATTAGCTTTTTAGAAATTTTGCCGGTGATGGAAATAATTTCTTTTTATATATATATTTTTTATATTTTATTCAAGAATTACGATTTTAATCCTCATGGGATAAAACTGCAACGATAATTTTAATTCTATTTATTTCTTTTTTGAAATATTTTAAAATAAGCTGTAAACTGCTTTCGAAAGTTTGTTATAAATATTGTTATTTGTTGAACCATTAATTGGTTTATTTGCATAATTTTGATCGTATTGTATTATAATTTCGCTCACACATGTGCTTTCAGTGTTTTGTTCCGCAGGCTTCGCACTCATTTTTTTTTTTAAATAATTGAATTTCTGACTCAAATTTTGTTATTTTTGAAGATAATTGAATTCTTTAGAGAAATTTTATTAAAATTTTTGAAAATAATTGAATTTCTGACAAAATTTTGTTACTTTGGAAGATAATTGAATTCTTTAGAGAAATTTTATTAAAATATTTGAAAGTAATTGATTTCCTGATAAAATTTTTGAAAATAATTGAATTTCTGACACAAATTTTGTTACTTTGGAAGATAATTGAATTCTTTGGAGAAAATTAAATTTATTAATAATTTATTAATAATTATTAATTATTAATTAATTTCTATAAAATTTTACAAAAATTCAATTATTATTTACAAAATTTTGAATTAAAATTCTTCAAAAATTGATTTTTAATGAAATTTAAAGAATTAAAAAAATCAATTATTTTTAATAAAATTTTACAAATATTCAATTATTTTAAAAATGTTCAATTAAAATTCTTCAAAAATGTATTAACAACAAAATTTAAATTAAATACTTTAAAAAATCAATTATTTTAAATAAAATTTTATCAAAATTCAATTACTTTAAAAATTTTCAAATTAAAATTTTTCAAAAATTTTAATAAAACACGAAAGATATCAATTATTTTCCATAAAAATTTACAAAAATTCAATCATTTAAAAAATTTTCAATTAAAATTTTTAAAAATTTTATTGAAAATAATTGATTATTTTTAAGTATTTGATTAAATTTTATGAAAATCAATTTTTGAAAATTTTTTTCTTTAGAATCTTTAAGAATTTAATTATTTTCAATTAAAATTCTTCAAAAATTTTAATTCTCACTAAATAAATCTATTATTTTCAATAAAAAGTTACAAAAATTGATGATTATTTTTTAGTATTTGTTTTAAAATTTTTGAAAATCAATTTTTAAAGAATTTTAATAAAAAATAAAATGAAAATGTATAATTTAAAAATTTTAATTTACATACTTGTTTCGAAAATAATCGAATTTAAAGAAGTTATAATTTTTCTTTAATTAATTGAATTTCAAGAAATTTTTTTTCTTGTTTTGAAAATAATGGAATTTAAAAAAATTATGATTAAAAAAATTTCAAGAATTATTTTTTCTTAAAATATTCTAATGTAATTTTGGAAAATAATTGAATTTATTAAAAATGTATTTTAGGACAATTTAAAAAAAAGTAATTAGTTTTTTTTTGTTTTGAAGAAATTTAATTAAAAAATTCTGCCAATTTTACAACTTAATTAATTAACGAGTGCGAAACCTGGTTCCGTGATTCTTTATGTGATAAACAATTCTCCTGACTAATTGTACATTAATAGTGCTAATTTACGTATTTTTCAAATTTCATTGTATATAAATAATTATATATATATTTTTACTTTTCGTTCTTAATGAACATTCCGACCGAATATATAGAGAGAGCCTATATAATATAATTTGGTTGTGGAAAAAAAACAAACTTTTTCTTTACAAAAGTTAAAAATAAAAAAGAATTTTCGATACATTTTTGCGCATATCATATAGTATTAATTATTATGATAAAATATAAATATATATATTATGAACTTTTAAATATAGATAGTTGTTCGAAAATTTGAAAAAATGGAATTGAAAAATCAAAAAAAGCAAAAAGGTAAAGAAAAAAAATTCCATTGTATAGTGAAAAGTTTTTCATTTATTTGCAGAGAAAATGTATAAACTTTTCACTTTGTTGTTTATATATATTTGTAATTTTATTAAAGTCTTCTCAATCATTTTTGTCGAATGATTGAATTATTTCTCTACTAATTATAGGATAGAAAAAGATTTTTTTTTTGTAAATATTAGTGTAATAATTTTTGAAAAATTTAAAAACTAAATCAGTTTAGTTTTAATGACGTTTAAATGAATGTTAAAAATACATTTTTATAAATTATTAGCAGTCAGAAATAAAAAAAAAAGTATTTAAGAAAAAAAGTAACGATACTTAGGAAAAATGTATACGTTTCGTGGAAAAGCGACAAAGAACTTTGAGGTTATGTTTGTGTCACTTTAATCACTTTTTCCCCTTTTTCCGCAGAATTTAAGTTTTCGTGTGACTTTTAATTTGAAACGAAAATCAGTTTTTATTATTTTGCTCTTCGTATATTTAATGCCAAGACTTTTATTTTCAATGATTCGTATTCCAAAAATTACAAACATAACCTCAAATTTTCTGCTCCTTTTCTTCGAAACGCGTTGTAAAAGAAAATACAATTTGCAAATTAAATTTTCCGAAAAAGAAAATCAACACAATTTTTGAAAAAATTCAGCCATAATTTGTGAATTGTATACAATAAGCACAATTTAAAATAAAAAAATTTTATTTAAATTTAAAACAACAAAAATTAGTTAAAAGGTTGTAAACGTAAATTACTTTTCTTTTTATTCAATTTTAAGTGCCTGAGAAATTAAGTTCGATTTAATTACTTACACGCATTACAGAAACGAATAATGGAAATTTTTCAACGTCAATAATTGTATGAATTATATCAAAAATTCACTATATTTTAGTCGCAAGGAAAAGAGAGGTCATGTTTGAAATAATAATTACGGACTTCTTTTTTCGAAGAATATTTATTTGCAGTTATTATAATTTTGAATACTGTATATATATTATATATTTGAGTGTTGTAATAATAAATTACTATTTTACTATCAATTACCATTTCATTTTTATATGAAAATTCTCTTCGTTAAAGAAACTATTTTATTTATAATATTTAAAAGTTTAAAATAGTTCGTTTTCTCTATTTTTTAGTTTTTTTATAACCTATATTCAATATATTACATAAATGCATAAATTCTGCTTTTTAAAATTTGAAATCGTTTTCTTTCGAAAGAAATCAAAAATCAAAAATTTGAAATTAGAACACCATTCATAAAAAAATATTGGATATTCTAGATTATAAATAATAAAAATAGATAAAAATAGAAATAAGAAAATTGCAGAATTGCACAAACAGAAAATGACAAAGTGTGACACAAAGTTTGGTTGTTAAAACAGACTGAGAACTATATCTATATATATGTATTTTTGTATATTTGTATATAAAGAGATGTCATGTATACATATATACACATATAAAATACATAGTATAAAATTTCTCCTCTCCCCACCTTTCCTACTGGTTGGTCGTTCCTCTTCCTTCTTCCTTCTTTGCGTTCGCGTCGTCGCACGTCGTCGTATTGAGTGTGAATGTGTCGTATTGAGTGTAATTTCAAGTTATACTAAGAAAAAAAAACTTCTCGAAAGAGTGTAAGTATATACTTTGACAAAATCTTTTCCATAAATAATAAAAGAAAAAATGACCTTGCAATTCAAAACAAAATTAAAAACCCCCAATTTTCTTCAGTAATATTTCGATTGCTGTCAAAGAAAGTCTCTTGACTCGTAAAATTTCGACATCATGTTTCGTACGAAATGGTAACATTTCTCATGAATTTTTTTTTTACTTTTCATTTTCTTTTATAATATAGAACTTGTATCCTTTCACTAAAAATTAATAGTATATTTTCACAGTGGGTTTTAACTTTATTGGCTCCTTTTTTTTATTTTTCAGTAAGGAACACGATCACTCGTCGTTTTATAGGTTTTTACAAATGGAGCAAAACCAAAAGAACACGGACTGCTATTTTTATTATTATTCCAAATGCTCTAAGGTAAGAATGTTTAATCTTCATATTGATTTGAGAAAGTTTATTTATACATCCATGAGCGATAGAATGAGAGATATGTGAAATTTTATTCTACCATGTGTTGCGTGAGTAATCGTGGAAAAATTGAGGTTATGTCGGCCATGTTGAAGCTGCGGTTTGTGTATACGATAAAATTCCTTTTTTTTAGTTAGAGAGAAAAAAATTTTCACAAAAATGTGTTCGTGGGAAATTGAAAATTGTATTCCAAATGGGAAAATTTAGTCCTGATGGAAAGTAATTTTTTCCTTATAGGTTGAGTTCACTGTATAGTTTCCGTAGAATTTTTCTTATTGAACGTATTGCATTAAATTTTCCCTGGTATTAAAATGCCATGTGATCTCCAATTGCCATGTTTTTCATGACTTTTAATTTTCGTTATTTATTCTTTATTTTTTGAAAAACATTCTATATGAATCGCAGTAGAGAATTGTTTTCGCATTGCGATTCTATTAGTGGAATTTAATTTTACTATTGTTTCGTTTCGTTGAGTGAATGTTGGAAAATTAATTGAATTAAATATTGTAGGGAGATAACTGTGCGTTCCGACATGAACCATCAGCTTTGGGTTGCGAGACTGTTTGTTCCTATTGGCAGCAGGGAAGCTGCCTCAATGAGCATTGCAATTTTCGGCATATGGAATTAAAGGTAAAATTATTACGATTGGGGAAATTTTTTATTTAAAAATTTACAGCAAAAATTACCAAAGATTTTTTATTTTCGAAATTTTCACCAAAGTCGTGGAAAAATATTAAATTTCTAGAAATTCTAAGAAAAATTCTCGCCTTTTGGTGAAAATGGAAAATATTGATAAACTTACTGTCCTTGAATTTTTTTTCTCATTTTAAAAATACCAAAAAAAAGTTACAATTCCGATAAAAATAAAAAAAATTAATTTTTGTATTCAAAATAATTAAATTTTCGAAGAAGTTTCTAAAAATAATTCGAAATAATCGATTCTGGGAGTTAATTACAATTAAATTGATTAGAATTAATGGATTTTTCAATAAAATTTTACAAAAATTGAATTATTTAAAAAATTTTCAATTAAAATTCTTTTAAAAATTGATTTTAATTGTAATTGTAAATTGTAATTGTAAATTATTTTTTCGTACTTTAGAAAAATCGCAAGTCAATTCCTTGTTACTGGGAAGGACAACCAAGTGGTTGTATGAAACCGTACTGCCCATTTCTTCATAGAAATCCAAAACCTACACAGAATGCTGCTGTTAATCAGGTGAAAGTATCCGAAACGATTTCAACGAAGCCTGTCAATCAGGAATGGTCGACTCGTCAAGGTAAATCCTTCTAGTAAATATCTTTTTATTAATATTATTATATTAAAACATGGGGAAAAATTTGGTTCATGAAAAAGAAACGTGTCCAATTATTAATAAATTTTCTGTTGGATCTAGCCAATCAGAATCATTCCGGGAAAGTCAATTCATTTTTAAAAAGTTAAAATAAAATTCTTGTCAATATTTCAATTATCTTTATAAATAGCAAAATTCTTCGTCGAAATTTAATTATATTTAGGGATTTTTTATAAAATTCATTGCAAAATTCAATTATTTTCAGGAATTTTAATAAAATTGATTGCAACATTCAATTATTTTCATAAATAACAATATTAATAACAAGAATTCAGTTACTTTCATAAATAAGAATATTCATCACAAGAATTCAATTATTTTCAAAAGTAATAAAATCCTATTTTCAAAAATTTTAATAAAATTCATTGCAAAATTCAATAATTTGTATATCTATTATTTTAATAAAATTTTCCAAAAGAATTCAATTATTTAAAAACAATTTTGACAAAATTCTACGCGAATATTCAATTATTATCTAAAATAATAAAATTTTCATGGGGAAAAAGATTTTCACAAATATCAAATTTTCTTAGCAGGACTTGAATTATTTTCAAAATTTTTAATAAAAACTCTCTAAAGAATTCAATTGTTTTCAAAAGTAACAAAATTGATGTCAGAAATTCAATTATTTTTAAAACTAAAACTTTTAGCAGGAATTCATTATCTTTAAAAATTATAATAAAATTTCTCTAAAGAATTTAATTATTTTCAAAAATTTCATCAAACTCTTGTCAAAAATTTAATTATTTACAAACAACCATTTTTAGTAGAATTTCAATTATTTTCAAGAATAACAAAATTTGTAACAGAAATTCAATTATTTTCAAAAATTTTAATAAATCTTCTCTAAAGAATTCAATTATTTTCAAAAATAATAAAATTTGTGGCAGAAATTCAATTATTTTCTAAAATAACAAAATTCTTCGCAGAAATTAAATTATTTCCAAAAATAACAAAATTCTTAAAGGAAATCCAATTATTTTCAAAAATTTTAATAAAACTTCTCTAAAGAATTCAATTATTTTCAAAAATAACAAAATTTGTGGTCGAAATTAAATTCTTTTCAAATTTTTTTTAGAAAATTCTTCACAGAAATTAAATTATTACCAAGAATAACAAAATTCTTCAAAGAAATTTGTGGCCGAAATTAAATTATTTTAGAAAATAACAAAATTCTTCGCAGAAATTCAATTACTTTCGAAAATAACGAAATTTTTTGCAGAAATTTAATTATTTTAAAAATAACAAAATTTGTGTCACAAATTCAATTATTTTCAAAAATAACAAAATTTTAAAAAAGAATTAATTATTTTCAAAAACTTTAATAAAATTTCTCTAAAAAATTTAAATTTTTTCAAAAGTTTAATAAAATTCTTCATAGAAAATCAATTATCTCCGAGTCTAAGACTCGGAGTTATCGATTTCTTCATGTTTTACAATAATATTTCTATTAGTTATTGAATTTCAAAAGATTTGAATTTGAATGTTTTGAAAATCTTAATTCCTTTAAAAAAATAATAACTATTAAATATTTATTTAAAAATAGAAGTTATTGATGTTTTCGAATAATTTTATACCTTCAAAGAAATTTGTAGATGTAATAGAACATTTTTTTGGAGTATCTAATAATTTTTAGAGTAAATCAGAATGTTCTTTTGGGAAAAAGTCAAAATTTTTGTCTAGAAATCAGGGAAAAAGAAAATTAAATTTATTATTTAAATTTCTTTAGTGAAAAAGTGGAAATTTTGTCTGAAAATCAGGGAAAAAGAAAATTAAATTTAAATTTATTATTTAAATTTCTTTAGTGAAGCAGTTTAAATTTTGTCTGGAAGTCAGGGAAAAACAAAATTAAATTTAAATTTCTTTAGTGGAAAAGCCAAATTTTGTTTGGAGAACAGGAAAAAGTCAGGGAAGAACAACATTAAATTTTTGTTGTAACCCTGCAAAAGTATCAAAAAAGTAGAACCAAATTTTTTTCCAAGTCTATTCTCAGATGGGAAAGTGTTTGAACAATGATGATTAATGCAATACCGAATTGGTTTAGAAGACTCGAAATTCGATGCTAGTAGCACTGAATCCGATCAAGGACGTGGTAGCAGTGAAGCGGGCAGTTTCATTGGTAGTCCAGCAGTCGATCCTCTGATTGTCAACTTTGAAGAAGGTATGAGGCTTTACTAGCCCCCCCGCCCGTCTTTCAACCTACACTACCTCACGCCAGGCACTCTTTCCCTTCCATCTAGCACCTTGCGAATCCCAGGCAGCCTCACGCTCCCCGGTGTACCACCATCACCCAATCTCCCCGGTTCCAACGCCTCCACAAATCTAAGCGTAACCAATGTACAGAATTTGCAATCCTCGCCTTGTCATCATGCTCTCTCGTTTCCACCACCACCACAACCACCACCTCATCATCATCATCACCACCATCATCATCATCATCATCGACCCAATTTACACCATCACTCGCACGGTCCATCATTGCAAAATCAACAACCGAATTCTCCATTCCTTCAACGACCGAGTTCTCCACTCCTTCAACGGCCGAGCTCTCCGCTCCTTCAACGACCGCCATCAACCTCACCCAATCACTCGCAACAAACATCACAAGCGCAGGCCTCGAGATATCCGTTTCCGTTTCTCGGTTTTGCACCCTATCGTCGATTTTGAAAAAAGTGTGTAAAAGGAGGATTTTGCAAATGTCTTTGACTAAAAAAAAAAATAAGGCCTGCCAAATCTGTATATTTTTCTGGCTAAAACTAGAGTTTAACAAAAAAAAAAACACGAATTAGATAGTTGAAATTTTCTTTTTTCTTCTGCTTCCAAAAGAAGCTTTCTCGATTAATTAAATTTTTCCGTTTTGTTAGTACACACAAAAGACTGAAAAAGTGTTTTCAATTTTGAAATTCAATCTGCCGTTCAAACTAAAAACCTACTAATCACTATTTTCGTCAAGAAAAAAAGTCTACTAGGTTTTTACTTTGCCCGGCAGAATATTTATTATATTATATTTTTCTAGGGACTATATCCGAATTTATTGTTTTTTGGCCCGGTGCCAATTTTGTTTCTTTATTGTTCTATTTTTCATTTTTGAAATTTAATTCTTCTTTTCCAGAAAGATAGTTTTGCAAGAAAATTTGCAACACAAAATTTCTTTCGTTTTTCTCCCAAAGACTAGAAACAAGGAGCTGAAACTAAAATCGAATAAAACAGCAATGTGATAGAAAAGAACATAAGAATCTTCTGTCTTTTTTCACCTCTGAGGCTTTGCGCGGTAACTAATTTTGAGCATTCTGCGCATATTAATACGCATGCGCTGATAATTCAGAAAATTCTGACAAAGCCCCAAATAGTTTCACCTTCTTCTCTTAGCTTTTTCTCTAGAAAAACGATAAAAAAAATCTTTCTTGAAAAGAATTCCAAGTTATGAAAAATATATTACGAAAAAAGTATATTTCTCCTTTTTGTCAATCAATTGTTATTCATTGGCTTAAAATTCTAAGAGTAATGATAAAATTTTTGATATTAACAAAAAGCTTGTTTTAACGTAAAGAGAAAAAAAAAAAATTCAGAAAAGGAAGAAAAAAAAGTGCTCAGATACGTCTCCCAGCCATATTTTACACTATATAAATATATATAAATGCCTTCATATGTTTTGGCTTCTCACGCGACTCTACAACGGCCTGGGATATCGCGCGTTAATCAGTAAAAAAAAAATTGTAATGAGCACTGTAAAAAATAAGTTATAAAAAAAAAATAATCGATAAAAAACTTAGTAATAATCTAGAAAAAAAGGGTTTTATTAACAATGTAGGATATTGTACTCGGTTTTCATTTTTCTCTCGCACTTGCATTTTGCAATAAACTTGTAATCATCGAGTAGGTTACAAATTAAAGGGAAAAAGAAGTTAAGGAAGTTTCCCGACAAAAAAGATCGGAACAAAAGTTACAAATTCGATGTAATTTCGTATTTTAAATTCTATTTTTGTGCAAGGTTCGGAGAATTTAATTTTCTACAATTTTGAAAGTTGCATTTTGAATTAAAAATACAATTTTGTCAGTAGAAAACACGAGAAACACTTTCGGTAAACATAATCTAAAATTATCCATATTTTCTCGATGGCAAAATTGTACTTTTGGTAATTCGAATGCAACTTTTTGCCTAAAAGGTAAAAAATTAAATTTGTTTTTGCTGAATTCTTAACGTTTCTTATGAAACGTAGAAAACATTAAATTAATGTATAATTTTTGACAATAAGGTTAAATATAAATCATTTTTGCTCCACGCCAGTTAAACACTACTACTCTTTCTTTTAAAATACGAAATTCTGACATTTGAGTAATTCGGAGTAACTTTTGTTTTGGTTCTGACTGTACGTGAGATTCCTCCTTGAAAAGAGTTCCAATTTAATAAATTGAAAGACGAAATAAAAATTATAAATTAAAGAAAAAAAAATAGTTACAATTTACAGAAAAAAATACAAATATAGAAAAAAGAATTGAAGAAAAAATGCACCCAAAACGCGGCTTCTTTTTTGGAAAAACATTTCATTCTCTCTCAAGTTTTCGAACACACGAAATATTTGCACTTTGTAAAAAAAAGAAGTGTTCCCGCGGATTTATTGGTAGATTCTCCTTTCTTTTAGTCTCGAGGAAACACAGATCCACTGAAAATGTATTTTTTTAGTTTTTCTTTTTTCGAAATGTGACGCGCTCCCAAGAGAGGCAAAAAGCGAAAAATTTGAGGTTATGTTTATAAACGTTCGGAGCGGAAGTAGGGTTGTGAGTGATGAAACGTTTCATTGAAACAATGAAACTTTCATTTGAAAGTTTCAATGTTTCATAAGCGAAAGTTTCATTAATTTCATGAAACATTGAAGAACCAATAATTAAGCTTTATTTGCACATGCGCAGTTGTCAGTTTAGGTTAGATAATCTCTAGAAATTTTAGGTTAGTTCGAAACAATTTAATGAAAATTTTTTGTTTACATCCGAAAACACGAGAGTAGTTATGTTAATATTAACTAAAAATTACCTGAAATATTACCTCTAACGAGTGACTTAAAATTAAATTATTAATATATTTTTTAATTATTTATTTTATTTATAAAAATTAAAGAAAGATATTAAAGTAAGTAATAATACTTCATGTTTTTGACAACAAAATATGCGTTAATTATTATACTTTCTTGCATTGAATTTGAAATTTCCCGCTTAAAACTTGAAACTTTGAAATGTTTCATGAAGCAATGAAACTTTCATGAAACATTTCATTTTCCAAAGTTTCATGAAACTTCACAACCCTAAGCGGAAGTAACAAAAATAGGATCAATTACTCAAGTTAGTTTAACAGTTGACGAAAAATTACTTTTCGGATAACAAACAAGCGGTTTGTCACAGGAATTTTATGGTTTTTGCTAAAAAATCGCTTTTTTCCGCAAATTAATTTTTCGTTGATTGCCGATTTTGAAATAATTCGAATTTCATTTAAATCCCTTCTGAAAAAAGACAGTAATTTCAAAAATGAACTTTCAATCGAGATAATCGAAAATCGAGACGAACATAACCTATAAATCATAATTTCGACAACAAGTATTTTTTGGACGCGCGTCACTGTGAAAAAGAGATAAAAATGTCATTAAAAAGCAAAAAGAGTGCCACAGAGTTGTGTTTAGAATGAGTGAGAAAACCTTTTTTTGTTTTGTCATTTATTTGTAGAAAATATTTTTTCTTCCTGTTGTTATCATAGACGTAGGAGCATATGGATGGAGATAAAAGTATCAACTTGGGGACAGACTTAGTGATTGGAAGGAGAAAACTTGTGTACGGCCGAAGCAGTCATATTAAGAAAAAAAATTTATCCTTTTCAATTAGCTCCGTGTTTTTTTTTATTTTTTTTTTTTTTAAATTAACTGCTGAAAAAAAACATGGGACCTAGCTCTATCCATTTATTCTTACGCCCATGGTTTGCCCCTTATCCCGAACATTTTTTTTCTATAAAAAAAAAATTTTCTGTGTCAACAAAAACAAAAAAAAATTTCTAATAAAAGATAAAATCTCAATAAAAATAAATTTTCTATCAAATAGAAAAAAAACTCAAAAAAAAAAATTTCTAATCTAAAAAAATTTCTATTATCAATAATAGAAAAAAAATTTCAATTTTGTAATAAATTTTCGAATTTAAATACATTTTATAGCGAAAAAAAATGAACAAAGAAGAATTTTTTTAGTGAAAAAAAAATTATTTTTTGTCTTTTTCGGGATGAGGGTAATTTATACGAAAAAAAGCTTGATTATTGCGAAATGAGGATCAAGGAAAAAGTAATTTAATTATATTATTATAATAAAAGAATATAAATAAATAATTACTGACTGTAATTATTTAATTATACTGTATATGTAAATTAAAAAAAAAACAGGGAAAGAGAGACAATTTCACGCATAATATAGAAAATTAGGAAACTTTATACATGAAAAAAATGAGGCGTACGGCATAATTATAAATATATTATATAATTATTATTCTATGGTTAAGTACTAAAAAAAATAGTAATTATCCTCGTTTCAACGCCTTAGAAAAGCACCACATTTTTCTTTTTTCTAGAGGGAAAAAAATCGAATTTATTTTCCAAAGGGAATTTTTCCCTTTAAATTTAGTTTTTAAAAATGAAATTGGAAATTAATTGCAATTAGTTTAATTATTAATTAAACTATTGAAACTTGAACTTTTTCTTGGGAAAATTAAATTAAAAGTCGAATTTTTTCGAAAAATTTCGAAATTAATGTTAATTAATTAAAATTAGTTTAATTATTAATTAAAATTTAATGAAAGCGATTTTTTTTCGAAAAATTGTATATTAATTGAAATTAGTTTAATTATTAATTAAACTTTTTATAGAAGTTAAATTTTTTCGAAAAAGTAAAAATTAATGGCAATTAAAAATTAATTAATAGTTTAATTATTAATTAAAATGTAATAAAAGTGATTAAAATTTAATTATTAATTATAAAATTGAAAAAAGTATAAGTTTTTCGAAAAATTGAAAATTGATGGAAATGAATTTAAAATTAGTTCATTAATGAAACTTTTAATGAAAGTTATTTTTTCGAATACAAAATTATAGTTATTTAATTAATCAAATGTGTGGTGGCGTTGTGAAAATTTTTTTTTATTTCGAATAATTTTTGTTTGTTTTTTTTTATTTTTCGTTGCGAAAAGAAAAACTGTTTTCCCCGGTTATAAAATTTGTGAATTTATAATAAAAATAGCACGAATTTTTCTTAAAAAAAAAAAATAAATAAATAAAGCTTTTGTCTCACCGAGAGTGAGTCTTTAGTGCGAGTGTTTGAGAGCGAGAGGTAGAGTGTGAAAAAGTAACCATTTTTATTATATTGTTCCATATTTGGAATAATTTTGATAAGGTAACTCTATTATTAACGTTACGAGACAATCGATACTAAAAATTTGCCTAAATCAAAACAAAAAAAATACGAAAATTAATAAAAAAAATAGCTTCTTTTTTTTGTCAAAAAATTTCTAGAAATCTACTTTATTGATCTCTCGTACCGTCGATAAAATTGCCATTGATAATCTCTGCATAATCAATGTTCGTTAATTGATTATAAATTTAGAGAAGAGAAACTGGACTTTCAAACTTCTCTTTAATTATTAACAATTAAAAGGAATTCAATTTTTCCTTTTATTTGTCTAAAAAAAAAATAAATAATTTTTTTTTGCGCCGATAATTTTCGGCGATAGAAAAATGCTTATTTTCATATATGTATATTTATATGTACATGTATGTATAATAATATATATATATGTGAAAAGAAAAAAAAATTAATCGAATGTAATCGCGTTAGAGTTCAAGAAAATTATTTAAAATATTTTTCTCTTTATTTTTAACTTGTGTTCGTGATTTTTGAAATGGTTTTTTCTATATAAAAAAAAAGTTTTTACCATTCCCTTTCCATTCGTGTATATATATATATATACATAAATATATATAAAAAAAATACCAATGCGCATTTTTTTTGGATCATTGAAATGATTCTTTGTACCTACAATAATCGATGTTAAACACCTTTGCAATTATAATACATATAATGTGTTTTTCTCTGGTGTAATTATCAAAGATTATGTACTATATATGGTTCTGTACAACTATGCAGTGGCAATTGTAAATATTTTCCAGGAAAAAGGGCCGAATGTCGATAAGGAAGAATTTGACAGTTACCAACAAAAGTGAAATATGAAAAAAATATTTTTTAGATTATGTTTTTCTTTCTTTTTTTTTGCTTTTGGGAAAAGGGAAAAAATAATATTTTAAAAAGAAAAAAAAAGTTTTTATTTGTAAATTATTGCTTTTGCCACTGAATAGTTTTGCGGCGAGGATAAATAAAAAAAGTTGTATATTGAGAGAAGAGAGAAAAAAGAGAATAAGCTAATGCGCATTATTATATGAATCGATGTAAGCGAATGGAAATTAATAATTTTCATTGAGGCGATATTTGGATTTCAATAAACTTGATAACTCGAAACAAATGCTTTTTGCCTTAGAGATTGGCCAGAGTAGCGTCAAAGTGTTCCAATTAGTCGGGTTTTTTTCTATTCAAAAAGCATAAAAAAGTTTGAAAAAAAAGATTTGAAGAATTTTAGAAACAATTGGAAATTTCACGATACTAGGGCCACTTGTTTGTTTTTTAATTGACTTTTTCCTCATCCATTTTTTTTACCAGCGTGAAAAAGATTTTTAATTCCATTTTAATGATTTTAATTCAATTCAATTCGAAAAATAAAATGTAAATTTAAATTTTTGAGGTTATGAAATGTATTTTTTTCTTGCAAATTTCTTCTTTTCGAAATTGTCAATTTTTTTTTTGGAGAAATAAGAAAATTTTCGTTTTATTTCTATTAATAATAAAAACAATGTAAGAAAGTAATTGCTTCTTTAGTTTAATGGAAATCTACGATAAAAAGAACGTCTAATGTCAACTGTCAAAAAGTAAGTAAACTAGGTTATAAGGAAATTCTAAAAAATGAAACAAAATTCCCCAGGCGTGAGGTTATAGGAGAGAAAGACAAAAGTTTTGAATTCCGAATCAATATACAATCACCTTGTTTACAGAATCCGATAGCGAAGGAGGTTGTTCGCCAGTAAAGCGGAAGTCGAGGGTGGCGTATTGCAAAACTTACGAGGAAATTCGTCTCGAGGAAATTCAAGCGGAGAGCGCGGCATTTTATTCCTATCAGCCGGACGATTATTTGGGTTCGAGTGGAGGGGGGAAATTTAAAAAAACAACAACAATACGCACACAAAGGGAATCACCGCTTTATTCCAGGCTGGACACAACAACAACAATTTCAGATCAGCAGCCGTCAGTTAATTTAAATTTTAAAATATTAACCCTCGAGGAAATTCGTCGAAGGAAAATTGAGGCGACATCTACAGACGATAGAAATAAAAAAACAAGTGACAATAATCAGTCAACGGAGGAATTTTTAAAGGACGCAATGAAAACTTTAGAGAAATTAAAGGCAATGAATAGTGAAAGACGAGAAATTACCAAAAGAAAATATTCCGAATTGGAAGACATCGAGGAAATAAGGAAAAGTAAAATAACGAAAATTAACGATAATAAAGTTCCACCTGTCAGATTGCGAAGAACATTGAAATTTTCCGACAATACCAGTGAGGTAAAAATCGAAAATCCAGAAGTGAATTTTACAAAAGTTGAAGTTAGAGTTTGTGATAGTAGCACTGCCGAGGACGATGTGCCGAGTAAAATTCATAATGTCGGGAAAATTTCCGTCTCTACCGAAACAAAGAATTTCTGTGATAATTCGGAGAAAACTAGCAATAACACAATTGCCGAGGAGGATGACATTTTAAAAGATATCGACGCATTGTTATAAAAACAACATAGTAAAAAAAAGTGACAACAGTAAAACTAAAAGTAAGTTATTTGACTCTTTTTTTTCTATCACAAAGTGGTATTTTTTCAAAGGATATAAACGATATAAAGTTATATTTCCAAACATGAAAAAACGGAAATCAACGAAAAAAAATTTTAAAAAAAGGGTAAAATGATAAATGAGATTTTAAATATTTTCCTTTTTTTTTAAAGAATAAGTGATAATTTTTAAATATTCGTCCTTTAACAAAAGTGATATTATAGAGAAAAATTTTACATAATTTTTCTAAGAGAATTTTTAAGAAATATAATTAGTAAGAATAAAAAAAAAGATAATTAATAAGAATAAAAGAAAGATAATTAATAAGAATAAAAATATAAATAATAAGAATAAAAATATAAATAATAAAAATAAAAATATAATTAATAAGAATAAAAATAAGGAAATAAGAAAAATAAAACTAAGAAAAATTAAAATTATAATAAGAAATGAAAGAATGATATAAAAGTAGAAATACTCTTATGAATAATGTACACGAACACCAAAAATATAAGAATAATTCCCATAAGTATTATTTAGAAAGCTTGAAAAAAAATTTCGAATAATTATTTCCTATAGTATTAATTATCAACAGTAAATACTAAAAATATCGAATTAATTAACGAATTTAATTGGTTTTCGGTTAGAATTAATTTTCGAAAATTGAATTTTCGAATTTTAATTAATAATCGAATTAAATTGATATTTTAATTATTAATATTTAAGAGTATAATTTAAATATAACCTCAAAAGGCTAAATAAAGAAAAGGAAAAAAAGTAAATTAAGTAAATTAAGAAAACAAAAAAAGAAATAAAAATCAAACTATACAAAAAATATTGTAAAAGTAAACAAAATGATATATATTTTTTGAAGAATCGTTAAAGCAATTTTATAGAACAATAATTATTTTCAAAATTGTTATTATATTATTAATAATTATAATAATAAATTATAAATAATTAAAATAATAAATGATCTATAATAAATAATTATAGATTGTACATAATATAGATGTTTGTTAAAAATAATTTGTCTAATATTTCGCGGTAATTTTTTATCCTCAATATTTAAATGTGTAAATATTTTTTAGACAGACTATTTTTAACAAACAATATATAGAATTTTTATTTTTGTTTTTTTTTATTAAAAACGAGTAAAATATTCTTTTTGAAAAGTAAGAAATTGTGTAATTATAAAAATATTGTTAATTGAAACTAATTTCTTTTAAGAAATTTAATTTCTTTTAAAAAAATTAATTTTCTGTAAATTTTTTTATATTCAAAAAGAAACAATTTTTTTATATAATTAAAAAGGAAACAATTTTTAATTATTTGTCACAACCGAAAAAAATTCATTAGTGGATTTTTTTCTTTCTTCTTATTTTTTTAAGAAATAGAATTTACTTAAAATTTTTCTATATTTAAAAAGAAACAAATTAGAATTAATTTTCACAATCGAAAAAAAATTCATTATTGAATCTTTTCTTTCAATTAATTAAATTTTCATAAAAAAAATAATTAATAATGCAAATTAATTTTCATAATTATTTCTTTTTTAATTACCAAAAATATGGCCTTGAATATTAATATAATTGTTTTTCTCTAAATATAAAAAAATTGTTTCTTTTTAAATATACAAAACAAAAATTGTTCTTTTTTTAAATGGAAAAAAATTGTTTCTCTTTAAATAGAAAAAAATTGTTTCTTTTTAAATATAGAAAAAAATTTTCAGTTTGTATAGAAACTTTTTTTTAATAACTTTGTATAGTTAATTATAGTATTCAAATTTTGTAAAGGAGAATTATTTTCATTGCAGTATTCGTTATTTTTTAAAGGTGAAAAAAAAATTAATTTTCGTTGATAAGTAAATTTTTCTGAATAGAAATTTTTAGGGGGAAAAATTTTGAAGTACAAAGATTAAACAATATATGTGTACTTATATTGTTAGAAAATTCATATTTTAAAATTTAAAAAAAGGGCCCACTGAAAAATGTACAGAAGTAAATTTTCTGGAAATTTATCGTGTATATTACATATTGTAATAAAAAAATGCAAAAAATTGCATTATACATTTTTGTAAATTGTGAAAATTATAAAAATATATTATAATTAGATAGTAAACTACCTGACTGTTAATTATATTTAAACGAAAATAATAATTCTTTTTCAGAAAAATGTTTTAAAAAAAGTTTATTTTTTATTTTTTTCTATAAAACTCGGAAGTAATTTGCAATTTTTGCCACAAAAAAAATTTTTTTTTCAGCAAAATTGAGAAGAAAAGTTGAAAAAGTCACAAATTTTGAGTCGCCTTTTCTTAAAAATAATTGAAAAAAGTCGAAAAAGTCTTCTTGGACTTTAATCTTAAATAATAAAAATAAAAAAAAAATCTTAACGATTAATTGAAGGGAAATTTATCACAAATCAATTTTTATTTTTGTTCCTTCTTTATTTTTCTTTCGATTCATAAAACTTGCACCGGTCAACTTACAATGAGTACTTAAAATTATTTTCAACTATATTCATTTTTTTTCATATATATATATTTATTTATTTATATATTTATATTTTTATTTACGAATTTTTACTATACATTCAAATGACTGCCGATACATCCCGGTTCACACAAAAACGATTTTTCGGCTTTTTTTTTAATTCATTACATGAATATAAATAAATATTGGCGATATCGACTTAGAATAAGTATTTTTTTTGTTATTTTAACTGTGTAATAATCATTTATCAAAGGGGAGAGAGAAGGAAGTTTTTTGTTTGTTATTTTTCTAAGTCGTGGAAATCGATTACGTGTGAAAAGGATTTTTCTATAGAAAATGATTCGTACTTAAAAAAAAAGTCAAGTTTTTTTCGATTCCTAAATGGCGAAAATTAAAAAACACTCCGAAAATGTTAATTACAATTTTTTTGTGAAGTTATTTACAAAAATATTTTCAATTTTTCGTTTTTTAAAATACGTATCATTTTCTATTGTTCATAATATTAAATTACAGGGTTGCCACAGGTCGCGAAAATTAAAAAAAAATTATTAAAACTCGTCTAAAGAATTCAATTATTTAAAATATTATTGATAACATTCTTAATAAAAATTCAATTATTTTCACAAGTAATCAAATTTTTTACTTGAATTATTGATAACATTCTTTATAAGAATTCAATTTTAAGAAATATTCAATTATTTAAGAAATTAATTATTTTTATAATTAAATAATTGAATTTTCGTAGAACTTTCTAATAAAAATTGATTTAAAAATGTATTTCAGTTGTAAGTTTAATTAATAATTTAAAAATAAAATTTTGCTCCGAAATTCAATTATTTTCTAAAATTTTTAAAAAATTCTTTATGAAATTTCAATTATTTTCATAAATAGTTGAATTTCTTGAAAGGAATACATTTTTTTGCATAAATTGTTAAATTTTTCAACAATTTAATTTCTTGAAAGAATTCAATAATTGAATTATTATTATTATTCTCAATATTCAACTTTAATAAGTTTTCTCCAAAAAATTCAATTATTTTTAAATGTTCTAAAAAAATCCTTTTTAAAAATTTGATTATTTTTTTTATAAAATTTTAATTCAATTCCTTGAAAAAGTCAATTAAAAAATGTTTACTAAAAATATGCAAAACAATTCAATTCTATTCATAAATTTTAATAAAATTTTTTTTAAGAATTTAATTATTTTCATAAATAACACAAAATTCTTTAAAAGAATTCAATTATTTACAAAAAAATTTTAATATAATTCGTTGCACGAATTCCATTTTTCCAGGAATAATTAAATTCTTCAAAAGAATTCAATTATTTTCAAAAATTTTAATAAAATTCTTTAAAAGATTTAAATTATTTTCATAAAAAGTTAAATTTGTCTAAAGAATTCCATTATTTTCAAAAACTTTATTAAAATTTTTTGAAATTTAAATAATAAAATTTTTTACAGGGATTCAATTATCTTCATAAAGAATAATATTCTATTTAGGAATTCATTTATTTTCATAAAATGATAATTCATCGTAGAATTTCAATTGTTTTTAATACAATTTTAATCGAATTCCTCGAAAAGTTTAAGTATTCTTAAAAATTTTATTGAAATTTGTCAAAAGAATTCAATTATTTAAAAAAAATTTGCCAAGTTCTTTATAAGAATTCAAATTTTCACAAACATTAAATTATTTATTACAATTATTTAAATAAATTGTGTCAAGTTTTTTATAAGAATTCAAATGTTAACAAATATTTAATTATTTAATAAATAATTTATTTTTGTATTTAAATAATTGAATTCTTGTAGAATTTTTCTAATGAAAATTGATTTATAAATGAAGTTTAGTTAAAAGTTGTAGATAATAATAAATTGAATATTAAAAACATTATAACGTGAATTTTTAGAAATAATTGAATTTTCAAAATGTTTTAAATTAAAATCTTTGAAAATCTGAATTCTTTATTCTTTTAATTAACAATTCTGACAAACTATTTTTTTTATAATTATTTAAAGTCTTTATTTTCTAATATAATATTTAATTAAAGAATTTCAGAATAATCAAAATTTCTTTTTTAATTGAATTGGAAATAAATGAATTTGTAAATTCTTAAAAAACTTTTTCAAAAATTATTAAAAATAATTTATTTAAAGAAGAATTTTAGTTAAAAATTTTCACTTAAAGAAATTCTTAAATAAATGTAATAAAACTTTTTTTTTTTGAGTATCTAATTATTTTTCGAATAATTATGGAAAATTTAGGGAAAAAGTTAAAATCTTGCCTAGAAATCAGAAAAAATCAGGAAAAAACAAATTTTTTGTGGCAACCCTGAATTAGCAACTTGAAAAAGTTTTTAATCGAAAAAACAGATTTTTATAAACACAAGGTTCTAAGCATTTGATGCCTTTTGAACCCATTTTTTTCGAAAACTGATTTTACCGTTTCGAAGCTTCTGGCACGAAAAAAGTGAGTAAATAACATTGATTTAGTTTAATGTGATGAAATTACAGGGAAAGGATAAGTTACTGTGTGCTATAAATTACTGGGGTGCGTATTTGACACAATTGCAGTCGTTACAATGATAATACAATTAATAATGTTATAACAGATCGCAGAGTTGTATTTTTTTTAAGCTCACAGAGTAAAATTACTCTTTATTATTTTTTTTTTTCAAGAAAAAAGTGAGTAATTATCGATCGAGCTACTAATTTTTTTTTATCGGCATTTTTAGTGTCATCGGTCATCAATCAAAGATCAATTTGTACCAATTTATGTGTGCCGCTTGGGCCGAAAAAATCCATTTTTGCCTAACTAAATTATTTGTATGTACGTATTGGCCGCGACTTAAGCGTCATTTCACGGTGACTTATACATATCGTATTAAAAAGTCTGATTATTTTACACATATATCCTATTAAAAAAAAAAACTCCCAAAAAGAAGTTTATTAAAAAAAAAATCACAAAAGTGAAAGAACTAAAATTTGCCACTGGTATTGAATATATATATATAGTTGTGTGATTTTTTTTAAAAAAGATACTTTCAATAACTAGTTACGTACAATTTGTTCCTAATGTGAAAAAATTTTTTTTTCTTTTAATTTTGCTACATTCTTTTTTTTAAATTTAAGAATTGGTTTTCTTTTTTGTGAAGAGACGCGAGACCAAATCGACTATTATTTAAGACGACCTTCATCTTGGAGAGTGCAACATTTTATCTGTAAGTTTCGATTTTTTTTGGTGTTAGAAAAAAAATCGTTTTGGTGATGAGATAAAATGAAGATCTACGAGGTGGAGGTCGATGTAGAAGACCACCACGGTCACTGCAACCTTGGAGACCAATATTGTGCAGCCATATCTGGTGCTGGTTGCCCTGGCACTGCGATTGGCACGCTCACACCGGGTGATATTAAACCTGAAATTCAGAAATTTATTTATTATTTTTTTTGTTTTTCATTGCGAGGAATTTATGTGTTTCATTTTGAGATTAATTTAAAGCATGGTTAAAATTGTTACTTTGAAAATTATAATTTATTATAAAATTATAATATTATTATCAATTATTATTATGAATAAAGGTGTAAAAAAAATAACTAATTTATAATTAACTTATAAATTAACTTGTGAATTAAGTTAAATTGATTAATTAATTAATTGATTAATTAATTAATTAATTAATTAATTAACTTGTAAATTAGCTTTATGAATACTTCAAAATGAAAGTTTCAGGCTTCGCATTCGTTAATTAATTAAAAACAAAAAATTCTTCAAAAATACAATTAAATTTCAAAATAATTTCTAAGTAAAAGAAATGAAACTAAAAATTCTGTCAAAATATAAAATTCAAATAATTATTTCAACAAAATTTAACAAAATTTCCATTTTTTCAATTATTTTGCAATTATTATCGGGAATTCAGTTGAATTCACTTTTACAACAATTAAATTAAAATTTAGAGAAAAAATTTAATTTTTTAGAATTATTATTCAAATTTTTGAAAAAATAATCAACTTTCTTTTTAAATTGTTCAAAAATATACATTTAAGAAATTCAATTATTTTCGAAAAGTTTCATTACGTATATATATTGAAGAAAATTGAAGTAATTATTAATTTTTAAATAAAATTGCATTTTTTGAGAAATTCATTTAAAATTGTTGTCAAAATAATTGAAATTCTGCGATGAGTCTTATCATTTTGGAAAATAATTGGAATTTTTGCAAACAAAATTTTATTAAAATCTTTAAAAATAGTTGAATTGTTGAAAAGAATTTTATTATTTGTAAAAATAATTGAATTCATGCAGTGAACTTTTTTTTTTTAAATTTCTTGAAAATAATTGAAATCTTTCGAGAAATTTAACTATTTTATGAAAATAATTGAACTAATTCGAAGAATTTAATTATTCTTGCAAATAATTGAAATCTTTCGAGAAATTGAATTATTTTTAAAAAAAATTAAATTTTTGCAAAGAATTTCATTAAAATTTTTGATTATAATTGAATTAGTTCGAAAATTTTTATGAAACAGTTTTTTAAATAATTGACATTTTTTAAGAAATTGAATTGAAATTGTATGAAAAAATAGCCAAATTTTTTAAAAAACATTTTCAAAAGAATTGAATTTTTTGGAGAAAAGTTATTAAAATTGTACATTAAAAATAATTGAATTCTTTCGAGAAATTAAATTATTTATGAAAATAATTGAATTCTTTTAATGAAATGGAATAATTCAATCAAAAAATTCAATTATTTATGAAAATAATTGAATTTTGAACACAAATTTTGTTACTTTTGAAAGTAATTTAATTTTTTTTGAGAAATTTTATAAATTAAAAATTTGAAATCAATTCAATTTTTGGGACAAATTTTGTTATTTTTGAAAATAATTAAATTTCTGTAACAAATTTAGTTATTTTTGAAAATAATTGAATTTTTTAGAGAAATTTCATAAAAATTTTTGAAAATAATTCAATTCCGGCTAAAAATTGGGTAATTTTTGAAAATAATTGAATTTCTGTAACAAATTTTGTTATTTTTGAAAATAATTGAATTTTTTAAAGAAATTTTATAAAAATTTTGGAAAATAATTGCATTTCTCCAACAATATTTGTTATTTTTTAAAATAATTGAATTGTTTAGAGAAATTTGTCCTTCTTTCGTGAAAATAATTAAAATCTCATAAGGTGAGAACTTTAAATCATTTATATTATTTATGAAAATAATAGAATTCTTGCAATTAATTTTATTAAAATTTTTCTGATAATTTAATATCCTAAGAAGAATTTTGTTATTTATGAAAATAATTAAATTCTGATTCTGAATTTTATTAAATTGATTTGAAAAGAAAGTAATTCGTGCCAAGAATTTCAAAATTTTTGATAATAATTGAATTTAATGTGAAAAATTTAAATATTTATAATTTTTGAAAATAATTGAATTCTTAAGAAGAATTTTATTATTTACGAAAATAGTTAAATTTCTGAAAAGAATTTTATTATTTATATAAATGAAAATAATTGAATTCCCGTAAAAATTGTATTATTTGTTAAAATAATTAAATTCTTGTAAAGAATTTCATTAAACATTTTTTTTAATGATTTTTTCAAAAAATGTTTATAAGAATTGTATTTTAAATATATATAAAAATATAATTCTATTTATAAATAGAATTTATAAATAGGAATTCTATTTATAAATAGAATTCCTGTAGAAATTTTATTGTATATGATAATAGTTGAATGTCTGCAAAGTAGTGGAAATTCTCAATTGAAAAAAAAAATGAAAAAAGCAGCTTTTAGTGGCACAATTCTAAATAAAAAAGATTCCAAATAGTAGCAAGTCGTAAAAAAGAGTAGTAAAGAGTAGATTTTAGTAGAAAAGTGCGAAGCCTGTGATTATTATGAATAGAGGTGCAATGAAATAACTAATTTTTTGCTATCTTAGAAATAGACACGCGCGTAACCGCCAATACGAAAGAAATGTTTTTTTCCTTCGAAATTATAGAGTAAAGTGCAATTAAAATTGAAGTTTGACACTTTATTGAAAAAATTTAGTAATTTTAATTTCCAACGAACGAATGAATTAATTGAATTGATTAAATTAATTGAATTGATTAAATAAATTGAATTGATTAAATTAATTGAATTGATTGAATAAATTGAATTGATAAAATTAATTCAATTGATAGAATAAATTGAATTGATTAAATTAATTGAATTTCGCCTTAATTCCGATAGAAAAAGTCCGCGCCGAATTTTTTTGAGTTTGAAATCCGATTTTTCTTCGAGACACGCTTATTTTTTCTTTTTTGTAAACTTGAAGCGTGCAAAATCAGTTTTCATTACCGGGCATGGTTAGAGTGGTCTGTCTGAGGTTCAATAGCGGTATCCGTGGTAGCCGTAATCCATCGGCTAAAGGGCAAGCAGCGAGTGCAGTGAGTGCGGTAGACACTCACCGGTGGAGGTGGCGTTCTGGTTGTACTGATTAAGGCCCGCGGTGTGATACGGCTGAGTCGGACTGCAAGTGGGCCTGGCCCCGTAGCCCAAGTGAAGTGGCTCGTAGCTCGACGGTCTCGCGACGCCGCAGGAGTAGCCGTTGTCGCGCTGCTGAAGACACGCTCCCGGACTGGGCCCCACTGTCATTCCCACCGTCATTCCCATTGGACCCATTCCGCCGCCGGACGACAATGAAGACATGCTGGTTGTGTGCTGGTTCTGCTGACTCGCTCCCGACATCGTGAAACTCGGCATCGACGTCATTGGACTAAGGGTGAGTTCATTCAATTAGTTTCATTATCAACAAAATAGTATTTTTGTTGCAATAATTTATAGATAATAATATAGGTATTTGATTAAAGATAATTTACGAATAATCGAAATTTCAATTAAAATTGAATTACAAAACAAATGGATTTGAAAAATCTCAAAAAACTTTTTAATAAATGATTAAAAATAATTAAGAATTTCAGTTAAAAATTCGATAAAATAATAATTTAATGGAAATGATGAAAATAATTTTGAAGAAGTTACACTAACAATATTCTTAAAAGTAATTGAATATTAGTATATTTTTTTGGAGTATTTAATTATTTTTAGAGTGAATCATAATACTCTTTAGAAAAAAAATCAAAATTCTGTTTGGAAATCAGAAAAAAGTCAGGGAAAGACAAAAGTATTTTTTTTTTTGCAACCCTGATCTTATTCTCCACCTGCGAACGCCAAGGTCAGCGCCAGATGGCAGGTCAGTTGCTAAAACTACTCCTCGCCACCTAGTGGCGACCTTGGCGTTCTCAAGTGGAGAATTCATCACATTTTTGATTCTATTTTCTATTTCTAATCCAAATTCACTCCTATTACACTTTTATAATTTTTTATTTCTGAATTCAGTGATATTTTCTATATTTTAGAAATAAATTTATTTTAGAAATAAATTAAGTTAATTAATAAAATATAAGTGTCTGTGTGTGTGTTACCTGTACGAGTCGGGCATGCTGGGAATTCCCGGATACACCGAAGGAGCAAAACCGTGATGTATCCTCGGAGGTGAAGGTGGCGCCTGTGGTGGAGGTTGTCCACTGATGATACTCGAAGGCGGCGGTGTGGGATGTCCACCAACTAAACCCGAATGTTGCTGCTGCTGTGGATTGTCCCTCCTCTGTGTTCTCAATTTCTCCTCGCGCCTCCACTTTGCACGACGATTCGAAAACCAGACCTGAGTTAGTGGACGAGACAGAGGAATATTCATCAAAATATAGTTTATATAAACCTCGACCTCCAAGTTTAACTCTGTACTTATTCTTTTTTGTTATTATTACATCTATCAAAATGTTGTTCATTCATGCCACTAACTAACATTTTGACGGCGTTGGCACATCTATCAAAATGTTGTTAGTTCGTGGCCATGAACTAACACATGTGCCACGCCGTCAAAATCGGACGGACAGTATATCTGCACTTGACTGTACAAATTAAGGCCTTTCTGCAATAGGATCTTAATTATTATATTCACCTGTATTCGCGCTTCTGGTAGACCGATCTTGCCGGCGAGTCTCTCCCTGGCAAACACGTCCGGATAGTGAGTTCTCTCGAATTCCTTCTCGAGGGCGTCGATCTGCTCATTGCTAAAGCTCGTGCGATTCCTTTGGAGTTTTCTTTTAAGGCGTAAGCGTGCTTGGTCATCATCAGTGCCACCGGAAACGCTGCCAGCATTGCTGTTGTCGCCTCCGCTGTTTGTCTCGTCCGAATGTGCTCCTCCCTCCAAATCGGCAACTGTAACACAATAGTGAACAATTTTTAGTGAATTTCCGCTTAAAGTCACGCGTCGCAAAAAAATTATCCTTCACCAAGATTCACAAGTAAGTAAATGATAAATTTTAGAGGTTATGTTTATCCTAAAGGCCAACGCACAATGCGAACGCAAAGCGTGAGTTGGAAAAGGACAGAGGGACCTAAAGGCCAACGCACAATGCGAACGCAAAGCGTGAGTTGGAAAAGGACAGAGGGACCTAAAGGCCAACGCACAATGCGAACGCAAAGCGTGAGTTGGAAAAGGACAGTGGGACCTAAAGGCCAACGCACAATGCGAACTCAAAACATGAGTTAGAAAAGGACAAAGATATTAGTTTTAGAACCTGAGAAAAAGAAGAAGAAAAAAGAAAGTTTTATCCTTGTAAAAAAAAGGTAAAGAAATAGTTTTTTTGCCCATGGGGTGAATTTACATCTAAAAAGTAAACGATTTTCGAGTATTACTATACAGTTATGAGAAGAGGAGACTGGAAACTTCTTGGGCTTCTATAAATACTCGTACATTGGGATGGTTCTGGAGATTCGAGCGTTTCTACGCGAGACGGGGCTTGGCGTGTACATATCGGGTAGCCATGCCAGGCCGATAGAAACCCTGGGGGGGTTGTTATCAGGTTTCCATTAGCACACAGTGAGTAGGATAGGGTGAGAGAGAGAGAGAGAGAGAGAGTGAGAGAGAGAAATTCAACGTCGGGTGACAGAAGCGAACATTGCCATCGCCAGGGAGGATAGGAAGCGGCGTCGGGACGCCTGGCGTCTTATCGCACACCCTCCCCCTCTCTCTCTCCTTCCGTCGCCTCTCTCTCTCTCTCTCTCTCGTCCTCTTACACCTTCGTCCTTGTCGTTGAGTCAAAACCCACTGACGCCTCGAAGCGCTCACCCAGAAACCGACGATAAGGTTTGCCGGGCGATGCCTGCAGCCTCCTGCCTGTTTCCTGCTTGCCTGCCTCTTCCCACAATCCTGCACACAATCGCATCTACACGCACATATCTCTCCACGTTATTTCTCCATATTTTCATGTTCTACTTTTTTGTTTTTTATTCCACGGGTTGTAATATGAGGCGAAATATTAAAAAAAGTAGAAACCACCTTCGTGATCCTTGTTGGATTAGGTCCAACGTAATGATATAAAAAGAATCTATTGTGGAAATAGCCTAAAGAGCCTAACCAAGAGTCTATTGTGGACAAGGCCTAAAACGAGCCTATTGTAGACATGGTCAAAAAAGGCTAGGCCTATTGTGGATAAGGCCTATAACGTTGAAACTATTGTTGACATAGCCTAAAACGAGCCTATTTTGAACTTAAAACAGGTTTGTAATATTTTCCTCCTTTCCGGGGATATAATTATACACGCTGGAGTTGTGTAGTAAAGATAAGAGTTGAAATTCGTGGCAGACACAGTAAACTTCTCGCGGATTATACTTTGGTACCAAACTTGCTTAACGTCTCGTATAGCGTGCACGTACTTCCCTTGGGAAGTTCCCTCTTCCGTGCTGCAGAGCTCCTCGTCGTTAAACGCTGGATAAAGAGAGGGGGGTCTTGGGGGGAAGAACTAGACGAAGAAGAAGCGGCGGCAGAAGGGTTTGAGTGTACGCGGTTAAGGATACGGGGCTAAGGTTAGACTATACGCACATATACAGCGTTGCACATATAGATTACGACGCACATATACAGTGACGCATGTACATAGCGACGCACATATACCGTTACGCATATATATAGCGACGCACATGTACAGTGACGCGTATACAGAGCGATGCACATATACACTGCCGCACATGTACATTGACGCACATATACAGTGACGCATGTATAGAGCGATGCACATATACAGTGACGCATGTACAGAGCGATGCACATATACAGTGACGCATGTACAGAGCAAAGCACATATACATAGTGAACAAAATGTACAGTGCGACACACGTACAGCAAAGTCGCTTCACTCCTTTTCCTCGCGATTTCCTCTTGCGCGAGTGTACTATAGGCCGACGCGACACGAGAGATACACACCCGCAAGAGGAAATCGCGGATGAGGTTAACGCGACGAGGGTGTCTTAAGCAGCAATTAAAACCATCGCATCCCCGACAACTTGAGAAGCAAGTTCTGCCTTCGTCTACTTCATCCGCGGAACGAGTCTCTTCCAGTCTGAATGTCTACATCTTCCGCAGCCAACCCCTTGTGTACATGTCACATGCAATACTGCTCTCGCAAATTGTACAAATTCGCTTACAGTTGCACTTTTCCCAAGAGAGAGAGAGAGAGAGAGAGAGAGAGAGAGAGAGAGAGAGAGAGAGAGAGAGAGAGAGAGAGAGAGAGAGAGAGAGAGAGAGAGAGAGAGAGGCTGTTTCTCGCGCTTATAAACTGTAATCTTCCGTAAAGTGTGTATCCTGACGATTACCGAGTTTCAAAAGGGGCGCCTCTTATTTTCTCGTTTTAATTTTAATGCTACTCGCGCAACTTTAAAAATAATTATTTGGTTTATATTAAAGCAAAGAATATTTTTAAGTATCGGCTTTTTAATGCTGGTAAGCATTAAAAAGCCGATATTTAAAAATATTCTTAATAAACGTTTTGCGGGCCATTTGAACGAGATTCGATGTCAGGTCGCAGTCTCCGGTGTCAGAAGGCAGTGCCAGCTGTGTGGCGAGTGAGATCTTTCTCTCTTCCCCCATTGAATTGTGGAGGGGAATCGCGTGTACCATCCTCCCATTCTCTCATCTCGCTCCCTCTGCCTCGCACATCCCTTGTCCTAAAATCTCGCATCTTCCCGGTCCAGCATATTATATCCACCAACCGCGATGCGCGCTCGTTCGACCGTGATGGCGGAACTCCATACTCTCCTTCTCGATTTCAAAACCTTTAAAAACTATATCTATACACGATATACCAAGAATTTTTTTTCCGCACTTTTTTTAACTATTGTCTTCATCACCAGACTGTTCTTTCCGAACCGATAATCGCGTAAACAAAAATCTCTAGGCCTAAGGATCTTAGGCCTAATTTTAGCTTTTTTGTTTTGCGTTTTGGTATTGCTGCCATTGGACTGTGGCCTAAATCCTAATTTTAAAATTATGATTTACATAACCTTAGCCTTAAACATAATTTTCGCTTTATTATAATAAAGCGAAAATTAGGTATAAGACCTAATTTTTGCTTTATTAATAAAGCGAAAATTAGGTCTAAGGTTAGAATTGCGCGCACGTGCCACAAATCTGAAAGAAAGAAATTATGTCGCTACAAAAGTCAACCGTCGACGAAAAATAAAAAAATCTGTGAACCGTGTAATGAACAGCGGCAAATAAATGCCACGAGCCCTTGACGATAATACTTTGTTTCACCTGAAGTAATTCTATATAATTAGAACAATAGCCAGTTAATTGCACATATTGTAGCATATAGCTACCGAATTTAAACTTATTCTCTTAGTATTGAAAATTTCTTTAAACTCCATACATGTGGCATGCGCGCTATTCAGTAAACTCCCTAATGTGTTAATAAGTAAACTCAAATAAGAATGAACTGAACTTGAATAATAATAATATAAACTTCTCTGGTATGAAGTACATTCCTATAAACGCAATACATGTGTCAAAAGAACAGAACCCCTTAAATATTTCTTAAAATAAGCATTTCGGGTCAAAAGACTCGAAACAATAGATGTTAAAAGAATCTTAATTTTAATACATTTTTTAGGCCTAACAACTTTTGTTTCGAAGATTTTGACCCAAAATACATATTTTAAGAAATTTTAATAAGGGGCCGTATACCCTGCGCGTATATATTTGAAAGTATATAAGTATTATATTGTTATAGTATAAGTATAGTATAAGTAGTTAGGATAGTACAATACTAAGAAAATGGATTTAATGAGACATAAAAACCGCATTGAAAATTCGCGTGCGATAGGGTCAACTCAATAACTGTCGTTTCTTTTTCTAATGCGCGGTCACAATTTAAGTCGAGTGTATACGCGCACTTGAAACGAGAATAATGAGCTTTTAGAAACAATGCTTCAAATTTAACCGAATGGTGCAACAAAAAATACAGTGTATACCTTAAATGAGAGTCAAAGGGAACAACTGTTCGGCTATTGTCGAATTTTGAAGCATCTAACGGAAGTGAACTGCTCGTTTGTATATTTAAAAGTGCGCGCGGTGCATGCTGATCGAGTACACGCGATTATTCTTTCAAGTATGTTCTTATTATTTTCTTTAAACGAGCATTTATACTCAAGGATCGTGACTTTGTTTATTAAAAGGCGAACAATCTCTCTAAACTGAACGATATTCTTATTTTAAATGATTTAAAATTTATTCCTACTGAAAGTTTTCTTAAAGTTAAAACTATAACTTCACTGTAAGACATATAGATCTTATATTTCAGCCTCCGCACTTTTGAGTTGAATCTTTTAAACATTAGAATCGTTAACATTCATTTTTGACTACATGAATCATTCTTGAGAGTGATTGCAATATTCCGAATTCCAAAAAACAGCAGCTGTTTTTTGGAATTTGGAATATAGTTGCGCGAAGCATATAAAACTTGATAAGTTGTTTAAATGGCGCCCGCATGAGATACAACATGTGATAATAAATTTATCAGACAGTTTATATCGAGAGGTGCGGCGATCAACTATTAGTTATCCTGTTAGGAGTGATAAATTATTAACGCTAGAGTGTATCATAGTCACTTTTAAAGTTAAGAAGCATAACGAAAGAGCATGTAATAATACGAGTTTCCCGTGCCAGATGCGTACTTATGTCGAATGAAATGATGATACAGATGTTACGACAAAACGAGAGGACCTCTCGTATATAGCACTAAAGATTATATGGTGTTACCCCAAAAATGAATAGTCGTCATCGTCGCGTACATGAAACGCGAAAACCATACTCCCAGAGTTAGACCGCCGAACATATACAAAATGTTCCGCCATTATTAGGGTTGCTAATGTCAAACAAT